CCTGATCTCAAGGAGGTTGGATTTAAGCCAGGACTTCAAGGAAGCAAAAAGGTGGAGATTGAAGCTGGAGAATATTCTAGGCATGGGAGATAGCCAGTGATAATGCCCAGAGTCGGGAGATGGAGTGTCTTTGGACTGAATCTAGTAAGATGAAATTTAATAAATTTAATAGAAATTAATGTAAAAAAGTATTATGTTTGAATTAAAAAGCTGACAGCACAACTATAAGAAAGGAGGGGCTTAACTATACCACAAATCTCCTGTAAAAGATATAGGAATTTTCACTAGCCAAGAGTGTGATATGGCAGCCAAAAAAAGTAGATGCAATATTAGACTGCATTAAGAGAGGTACAGTTTTAAGGACTAGGGAGGTGATAGTCCTATGGTCAGACCAGGTCTAAGATACTGTGCTCAAATTCAGGGAATCACATTTTTAGGAAGAACACTGGTAGTAAACTGAAGATCATCCATAGGAGAATGAGTTTAAAGTCATGCAACATGAAAGATGAAAGGAGTAATTATTAATGTGGGATCCATGGTCCAGTAAAGAGTCTGTGGTTTCAAGGTTCTATGAACTTAGATGGGGAAAATTACACTGGTATTTCAACATGATTGGTTTGATTTGTAATTCTATAAATTTTATTTTATACATTGTAAAAAATTATTCTTGGGTGGAATCTATAGGCTTCAGCTGACTGTTATAGGAGTCCATGACACAAAAAAGGTGAAAAATGCAGAGTGAAAGGACTTGGGAGATATTTAGCCTGAAGAAAAGAACCCGAGGGTTGGAGAGGCTGGAAAAGAGAAATATAATTGTTGTCTTCAAGTATCTGACCATCAGCTGAAAAAAAAAAGCAATGTGATAGAGTGGAACCAGTCATTGAGCTTGAAGTCTTGGGAATCAAAACTCTGAGTCCTGGCTCTGCCTCCTGTGAACTGTATAATAATGCCCAAATCACTCCAGCTCCTTCACCTTCTGTTTCTTCACTTGTAAGATGAGGGCTTTGGGCTACATGACCCAAAAAATTCCATTCCAGATCGAAATCTATCATTCTAATCCTAGAAAGGATTAGATTTTTTCTGCTTGATCTCAAAGAAAAGAGCTGGAGCAGGGAGAAAGTATCAAAGAAGAAAACTTAGGTTTGATGTAAAGAAAAACCTCCTAACAATCACACCTGTCTAAAAGAAGATCAGATTGCATTGAGAGCAGTGAGTTGTCCCTCAATAAAAGTTTGTAAGCCAAGGTCCAGTGGCCACCTTTGTATGATGTAGAGAGTTGTGTTATTCAGATTTGGGTTGGACTAGATGACCCAATGTTGAGGTTTTGTGAAAGGTTAAGTAAGGGATATGTGGTGGCACCAAGTGGGCACACACAAAAATTCTGATCATGATGGATGATGGTGATATTGAAGACTGAAATTTAAGTGGGAAGTAAAATGCTGAAGCATTTTGAAAAAAAAAGTATTGACATGAATGCAGTAGGTTGAAAAGAATATTTTTGGCAGTAGTTTTTTTGAAGCCCTAGAAGCAGTATTAATTCACATATAAGATATCAGGGCTCTGGATGAAGCATATCTTGTAAAGATAAAAACAAAACAAATCAATTTGGGATACAGGAAGAAAGGAGATGACTGCTTGAAACACCAGCTGGTGATCGGTAGCAGTCATTAGAAAGAATCTTCAATCATCGTGATGTTTGCAGGAAGATTTTCACCAAGGAAGTTATGGACCTCGGTAAACAGGAACTAATTAATTTTCACAGGACCCAAGAGAAAAAAATGAGTGTCATTCTCCTCTTATACAAAGCAGGAAAAACACACAGATTTTAAGTGGTTTAGGCAGCACCTCAAATGTACTTGTGGCAAGAATGGGAATAATAGGTCCCAGTAATTCTAATTTCCAGCCTTTTTTATTTTTATTTTTGGTGACTCAAATACCATACTATGATAAAAAGTACAAGGATGTATCTTTACTTATAAATGACTTAAATACAAAGGAACGTCAACCACCATATGAACTAGCTATACTGTATTGGACCTTTTACTGTATATAGTTATTTCACAGGATGTGGTTGGACCCTCATCATCACCATAACCAAAAAACAATGAACTACTACAATACGCCAGACACCAAGCTAATAAAAAGAGATAAAACAGACACCCCGATTTTGAGTTTAACTGTAATATAGGATACAACAAAAATATATTTTTAAAAAGCTAATATGAATCTGTGCATTGAAAACATAAGTTAAAGAAAGTTTCTACTGTACTGGTATTAAAATTTTATTGCAGATGGTGGATAAATATAATTGATGGGCTAGTACAATATTCTACTCCATGATCAAATCAACTTTGCCACTGCTTCTGTAAAAGGTTTATCAATCTACTTCCCTATGGTCCTGCTCACCATCCCAATATAACACATGCCCTAGTCTACCTTCCCAACCTCCATTTGCACTGGTAGGTAGGATCCCCAGACAGCAGCTCTTGCTTCTCCCCTCAGTCAACTAAGGGGCTGGTGGTGGGGTTGTTTTTCTAATGCTGTGGCTGAGTGTGTTTTCCCCTTATGATTATTGGTCAATATTAATTTGCAAGACAATTAACTTTTAGAAATAGATGTTTTCTCTTATTCCTTTTTTGTCACTTCATTTTTATTTTTAAAATTAATTTATTTTACATGTATTTATAATATATTATTCCAACTGCCACCCCACTATTGAATGAGTATTGTCTACTTTAGTAAAGTTGGTACAGATGCTACAAATCATCTCTAACCCAAAGCTCTGTTACATACCTTCCATATATACAAAGTTTACAGGAAAGTGTAAGTTCAGTGGAAAGCTAAAAAATGCTCATTGTTATTGTTTGTCCTTCGTTCTCAAATAGAACCATGGCATCAGGGAGGTGATGTCGTGGCATACAAGTGAACTGGATTTAAGTGAGAGAGTTTTAAAACTAACTTACTGTTTTAGAGATGACCCACAGGACACAACCCACTTTCCTTAACCAATGTGAATGTATTTCCTGTTCAACATCACGCTTGTTCATCCAGTTAGCTTTCAAAGACTTTTAAATTAATTGAGGATTTTTTCACACTTGCTCCAAAATCTATGATTAGTTTATTCAAATCCTTGTTCATATCCATTTTTTCTGATTTTCATGTATTCCATTAAAACTAGAATATGAATTAAATTACTGTGTTATGAGATAAGATCTAGGGGCCTATAATTTACTTGCTTCCTTTAAGTTGTACAAGGTAGAAAATGGTAAAAACTATACAATATACTGTAGGTTGCAAAGAATTTGGTAGCACCTACCAAATATACATAAAAGCATGGTCAAGTAGCCAGAATTATACAGCAAATAGTTTATAAACTTATCAAGACAAATTGCTGTTCTACAAATACAAAACTCAAAATATTCCTGCGATTTCAACAAATAAACCATACTAGTACTGGAACATAATCACAAATAAAGCTAGTACAGTAAAATAACTATTATTATTGTTATTGTAAAACTATTGCTAGGAATTGTCCAAGCAGAATGATGACCCACAAAAAATTTTAAAACATTTTCTTTTTTCTTGGTCATTGATCCATTAGATTTTTTTTATTTAGTATTTTATTTTTCCCCAGTCACATGTAAAAATAATTTTTAACATTCATTTTTAAAACTTCGGGTTCCAAATTCTTTCCCTCCCACCCTCCTACCCCTGCTCATTGAAAAGGCAAGCAATTCAATATAGGTCATGCATGTTAAAACAACGTTTTCAATACATGTTGCTATATCAAATACATATAACCTCTAAACAATGGGGAATGAAAAGCTCTCAAAATATAGAGACTTCATAGAAGAAGATGAAATCATGTGGGAATGATTCTTTATACAGTCTTCCTTGTTGTTCTTTGTACATCAAAATATTTGTATTTGTTGATAATTAGCAAGTTTGTAATTTTTTCAAAGTTAAAAATAAATTAAAATGTTAATTTTTTGAGGCTGACGTTTTCAACAAATCTGCAAGTGTGTATAAGGTAGTCTCCCAGGGTTTGGGTTTTTTGTTTGTTTGTTTGTTTGTTCATTTGTTTTAAGTTTTTAGCAACTTAGCATTGTTTCATCTAATTTATGAGGTATTATAAATATCATTTAGCACAGTGATATACCATCCCTTGATACTAAATAAAACTGGTATTAATTACTGAGCACCCAAATTGTTCTGGTAAGCATTCTCCAGCCTTGGCCTTAATATGGTATCAAAGAAGGAGTCAGAGTTCCCTGGGTGCAAATCCCATCTGTGATGCTCACCATTTGTGTGACTTTTGGAAATGAAGGCTTTGGACAAGGTAGCCTCGGAGGACCCTTCCAGGGCTATATCCATGATCCTTTGAGAGAAGCCTCTTCAAATTCAATTTACACAGACCCATAAATCACTATGAAGGTTTATGCTGCCACCTAGTGCTTAAGAGGAAAAAAAGTAAAGGTTTGTCTTTTACATCCAAAGTTGATAATGCCTGTTCATTCAACAAATATGTTTTTCAATGAAAAATGTTCAAACGACTAAGTTAGGTGCTATGTGGGGACCCAGAGGGGAAAAAAAGTACACCGCCTTCTTCTGATGTGTAAATGTGAAATTATACATTAGCTTCTAGGATGGTATATCAGTCACTCTTCTTATTAGTATCATGTTTAAAAATCTTTCTAAAGTATGGCTGATTTCTTTCATTTTATCCTTACTCCCTTTGTTCTTTCTCTTGCTCAATTAGCTTTTGCCTTTTTATCATCTCTTTTTTTAGTTTTGTCAGTACTTCTTAAAGCTTTCAGCCCAAGCTATGCCTACCATCATCTACACTGAAGACCCAGGAATACTACATAGATTTCTTCCAAATAAGAAATGCACTCTCTTCTTTGGATGCACAGATATGGTTAAATATGCAAACAGCAGGTATACCTTTTCATCAGTGCTTGACTGGAAATGTACCCTTCATTCTGTTTTCTTTGCCAAAGGTCTCAAGCCACTCGTTTCCGGTGGCATCAGCCAGCTCCATTTGACAAGCAGCAAACGTGGGCAATAGACAATGTCTATATTGGGGATGGTTGCATAGATATGTGCAGTGGCCATGGGAGATGTGTACAAGGAAATTGTGTGTAAGTATGTTTTATTCTTTCTGCTGAAAGCTTTTCATTCACGTTCCAGTTGGCTGTCTTCTCAGAAGCTAGTTTCTGAATTATCTCAAAGCTTCCGTTAGGTTCTGTGATTTGTTTGTGAGATTATTCCCTCTTAAAGGAGATAATGAACTAACTATGCATTTGCTAGGTTGCATTACATTTCCTATCTAAAAACCAACAACTTGATGGGGGAAGAATTCATAATAATTAGCAATATTTTTATTTCCTTTGGTATTCTTATTTAACTCAATTTAATTCAATTCACCAAACATTTATTAAGGATATAATATGTGCTAGGCAATGGAGATAACAAAGATAAAATGAGACATTTCCCCTGCCTTCAAGGAGTACACACTATAGGATAAGACATATACACAAGTAGTTTATTGACTGGTGTTAATTAAACTAGTCATTGAAGAAAGGAATATGTGCCCCTCACTGTTAAAGAGTATGTTCAAAGCATCCCCACGCAGACCCTTCTGATGTTGCTGCCCACACTATTCCTCTAAGCAGTTAACAGAAGACATTAGAGATGGAAAAGAAATCTAAATGTGTTGGAGGAAATGTCTGAAATGTTGGACAGAGGTTAAAAGTTTGAAGATGTTCTTAAGAGATACAACATTATGTTGGGACTTGAGAAAATAATTTGAAAATATTCAGGAATTTTCCATATTAGGACCAAATTTAGTTCACTATAATAAATTTTCATTTAAGTTTGAACAAATTGCATGATATGCAACTCTTCTGTTATTAACTGTGCTAAAATACATAAGTATATCCACATGTATGTACTTACTGCATATTTTATATATTGCATGGATGTGTGCAATGGTAAATATACTCAGGTAAAATATGTCTATATTTTCTATAGAGATATCTATAAAATATCAAAATATATTTATGTAAATGGTACAGTTTTCCTGTGCCATTTATATAAATGTATATGTGTATTGCCAATTGACCATGTTTATTCTGATGAAGATTCTTCTCTGTAAATACCATAAGGGGCTTCATGTGTAAGCCTTGTGGAGAGCTTCTTTGAACTGTTAGAAATAGTGTGCCTGTGGTCTTGAAGGGTTGGGGATCAGAAGGGGAAAACCACCAGGTTCCATTTTCAAAGATGATGCTACTCGATAATGAATTGTGATCTGTGTATTCAGGAATGGCTGAAGAGGCCAAGAGACATCCACTAAACACACGTGAAGTCTCTCTGATTGATGACTATAGGTAGCTAATATTCCAAAAATCAGTCTCTTGCATATTTAACATATGTAATATTAAATTGGCCCATTAATTAATGATAGTAGTCTCCACCAGAAGGGTCTTTTGATGTTTGCCATGAGGCTTCCAAGGCTTCTACTTTTGCCCAAGGTAGTTCTCTTTTAAGATCAACATTACTTCCTTACAGTCTTACAACAAGTTGGTCTGACAGCAGGGCTTGTTTCTCAGCCATCTTCCTTACTTGAAACTGTACTTCAGTGAATGCTTAAAATAAATTTCTCTTTTCTGATCTCTTATCAATCCCATAACCCTTTGAAAAGCAAGAAATAAAAAATATTTGCTACCTTTTCTTTTCAGAAAGCAGTTAAAATAAATTCATTTTATTAACAAACATTGTACATTGATGTACAAGAAGGAAAAATTGCTTTCTTAAAATAAACTTCATTTCAAAATATAAGATTCATTCATTCTAAGTTTATTTCTAATTTGAAACATTTTAAAGAAGTTTACTTAAATCTATTACTACATGAAGTTGGGTAACCTGTCCTAATTCTGGATGAAAAAATGGTAATAGATTCTCCTGCTTAGCACTGATTTTCTTTCTTTTTCTTCTTATTCATAGCTGTGATGAGCAGTGGAATGGTTTGTATTGTGATGAGCCAGAGATCACCCTCCCAACACAACTCAAAGACAACTTCAACAGAGCTCCATCCAACCAGAACTGGTTGACTGTTAATGGTGGGAAACTGAGTACTGTGTGTGGAGCTGTGGCTTCTGGGATGGCTCTTCACTTCAGTGGGGTTGGTTCTTGGCTTTCAGTCACTTTTTTTAAAATTTACTTAATCATTTTATTAAAACTATACTATTGAAAACCAGTACCACAAACTCAACTTGCCTAGTACCTTTTTACATTTAAATCAGGAGACTTTAACTTTGGGGGGGTTATAGACCCTTTCCAAGTCTAATGAAGCCTATAAGACCCCTATTCAGAAGATTATTTTGAATGAATAAAACAAAATACATAGAATTACAAAGGAAACTAAAGGTTAATGAAAATAAAAGAGTAATTTTGTTCCCATCCAAGTTCAAAAACCTCCTAATATTTCAGTCCTATTCTCCAAGTCACTTTCAGGATTCTCTTTCTTCTCATTTTCATTCCCTTTTCCTATTGTGTAATCATGGTTAGTTTATATTCTGTTCTCCTGGTTCTGCTCTTTCACATTGCTTTGATTATTTTATAAAAGTCTTTCTAGGTTCCTCTGTATGCCTCATACCTGTCCATCTTAATTTCATTAAAATATTCCCTTATATTAATGTACCATAATTTAGTTAATCATTTCCCTGTTGCTGGACATTTGAGCTGCTTCTAGGTTTTTGCAGTTACATATAATGCTAAAATGAAAACCCTTGAGTAGCTAATTCTTTTGCTTTTTGTAACACTTTCAAGGTACATTCCCAAGGCTACAATTCTTGGGTCAGAGTCAGTCATTTAGTCAATTAGCATTTATTAAGCTCTGTGCAAACCTCTGGGAATATAACTGTAAGTGAAAAGAAAGTCCCTTTAGAAGAAGGAGCTCATGTTCTAATGGGGAGAATGACACTGAAAAGGGGTAGACAAAGAGAGACAAAAGTACCCACCCAGCTTGGGGGCATAGTGAAAGAAGTCTGGAGAACAGCCTGGAGAGGAATGAAATATCAAAGGATATGATTCTTTTTGTAATTTTTATTTCCGTCACAGGAGGCAGACTAGATAGTGGATAAAGAACCATCTCCAAAGCCAGGAATACCTGGGATCAAGTCCTGCCTGTCATATATTGGCCTATGACCCTGGGCAGCTCTCTATATTGCCCAGTGCCCTAAACAAAAAGACTAGGATTTGTGCAGAGAAGGTATTGACATGCATCAGTAAAGGAAGTTTCTTCACATAGGAAGGAGTCCCTTATACTGATGAAATTGCAAGTCTAGTCTTAATCCTTATTTCAGTCATTTCTTCATCCATTAATTTCACTGAAGCACTTTGTTCTTCATTAAGTTTGCTTGAAAACTTAATAAGAAATCAGGACATTATCATCATATTTATACAAATCTCTAGTCAGACTGTGACATTTCAAAAAGCAAAAATACAAAAGATTGCATGTGTTTTCTTATCAAAAATCATGATTTGGTTTAGCTTAATTATACAGGATAGTATTATCCCAGGTCACATTAAAGTACACATAAAAAATGATTTAAATTAATACCATCTCTATCAGGGGAAGAATATTTGCATAATGTTTGGAAAGCTGCCATCTCGATGGTGTTTTAAATGAAAACTCTTGAATTTAACCACAGATTTGGAATTTAGAAGCCAAAAATCTGTGAAGTGAGCTTCAATGGCTCCTGAATTTATTAATGATAATCAATCCTTCTTGGTAATTATCAATAATTACAAGACACTTAAGCTTGTAGCCAGAACTGCTGCTTCACCATGACAGAATTTTGATGAGAAAAACTCCGAAGTACCTCAGATTCCAATCCTCTTCAGAATCGTTCCACATTTGAAGTGGAAAAAAATGGTGCTTTTTTTTAATACCATTACTTCAGGATCAAACACTGAAATTACCTTCATTCTCAAAGGAGCTGTTACTTCCATAGCAAAGAGAACTCCTGGTACAGGAATTCCCTCCACCAAGGCAGATCAGCAGAACCATGATTTTGTAGATAAATTCTAGGGACTTAAAGAATTACCTGAGTCACAAAAAGTGACTCACCTCATATCAAACAGCTACTAAGCATCAGAGATAGGATTTCAATACAACTATTAATCAGTCAACGAGCGCTTACCAGCAATTAAACACCTACAAGAGCCAGGCACTGTGTAGACATGGAGGATACAAAAACACAAAGTGAAATAGACCTTGCATTCCAGCAACATACATTCTATCTGGGATTTGAACCCAGCTCCCCAACTCTAAGCCAATCTACTCTTTGTTACACCTGCTGCCTCCCCTACCTTTATCAGTGACCTAAATTATTTTTCGTTTATTCATTATCTACCATTTTCCTCCTTGAATTGCCCATACTGCCTTAGAGCTTGTTGCCTTGAATAAACAGAGCATATTACTGAAATTCATGATTTATTTTCTTATGATAATTATGTATTACTCTAAAACCAACAAGGACACATTAAGCACTAAGGGTTGGAATAATTACAAGCATTAACTGGGAATCAGGAGATTAGATCCTAGCTCTGCTAGTGATTATGAGCGATTTGGTCAAATCCTTTGTCCTAATTTCACTCATCTGTTAAACTGAAGCAAAATAATTTTCCGTGTATCTATACTGCCCACATACAGTAAGGAATGAGTCATTTAATTTGCTAACGTGTTTATAATTCTTCATTGGCAAGGCAACAAGCATTTATTAAGCACTTATTGTGTGCCAGGCACTGGCTCAGCTGTTATGCAGAGACAATAATGTTCCTAGTATATCTGATGATAATTTAGGCAAAGAATTTCCAGATGTAGTCGTAAACAAGTTTTATCCATTTAAAACTGTCATTATCACATAAAAAATAATTCTCAGCTCAACATCTGATTAGTAGCTGATGCTTTTAAAAAAAAATATTAAGCATAGTAATTAGCCAATAATTTGAATTAAAAACATAGGATTGTTTATGCTCCAAGATATGTAGATAAGAAAAATCTCCCTCTGGTTTTGTAATTACTTAATACCAGTGAAATTCCTAACCAGCTTCCTTGCTAAATACTACATGCCAAAGGTTTTATTGATGTTGTTGTTTTCCATTCTGCTTTTATTTATTTTTTAGGGCTGTAGTCGAGTATTAGTCACAGTGGACCTGAACCTCACCAATGCTGAATTTATCCAGTTTTATTTTATGTATGGATGCTTGATAACACCAAACAACCGAAACCAAGGAGTTCTTCTGGAATACTCTGTCAATGGAGGCATTACCTGGAACCTTCTAATGGAGATTTTCTATGACCAATACAGTAAACCCGGGTATGTAATCTTCTCATACCATCAATAACTTCTGTGACTGAGGAAATATCATAGTTAAGCCAAGGGAGAACAATGAAAGATTTTAGTGATGCACACTCTTCTACTGGTAAAAGGAACCTCATCAGTTATCTAATTCAACTTCATAGCCAGTGCAGGGATCTCTTCATCAACATTACTTGACAGAGCTAAGACGTGGAGATGAGGTTTCTGGCTAAAACAAATGTCCAAAGCCAAGAACTTAGTTTTAAAACCCAAAAGGAAAAGAAATATACTACACTTGCTCCTGAATAGTTAAAGGGATGTAGAAAAGAGGAGGGAGGAAAAACGTTCATCATGCAACTACTGACTTTTAGAAAAGGTAAGGGAGAAAGTTAAAAAATTCAGTAGTCCTAAGGAAGCCTGAAGACCATTTTTAAAAAACACTTTGTTGAAAACTCAAAATAAATACAATTCATCTACCAAGAAAAAGGACTTAGCTGGGGCAGCTAGGTGGTGCAGTGGATGGAGCACCAGCCCTGAAGTCAGGTGGAGGACCTGAGTTCAAATCTGGCCTCAGACCAAACACTTGACACTTACTAGCTTTGTAACCCTGGGCAAGTCACTTAACCCCAATTACAAAAAAAATAATAATAATAAATTTAAAAAAAGGAAGTACTTAGAACAAAGAGCCTATTTGGCTTCTTAAGCAAAAAAAAAAAAGATTATCAAGATTATCGCAGAGAAAAAAGTATATTTGAATACATAGCCCCACCAAGAAGTACAGTTAAGTCTATAAAATTAGCCAGATCAGGTGGAAGCTAATCATTTTGGTAAACCAGAAGATAGGGAAGCTAGATGGCACAGTGGATTAGAGCACTGGCCCTGGAGTCAGGAAGACCGGAGTTCAAATGTGACCTCAGACACTTATTAGCTGTGTGACCCTGGGCAAGTCACTTAATTCAGTTTCCTCATATGCAAAATGAGCAGCAGAAGAAAATGGCAAACTACTCCAGCATCTTTGCCAAGAAAACCCAAATGGGGTCACAGAGAGTTAGACATGACTGAAAAGACTCAACCACAAAGCCAGAAGATAATTTAAAGAACACATGTGTGGAGTACTCGAAAAGCAATGAGAGTTTCCTTCAATTCATTAAAGGCTGGTGATCATACATTACTTGATTCAATAAACACTGGGGGTACATCAGGGTGCATCTTGTCAAAGATGTGTTCTAACAGGAAAAGATGACGATGGAATAAAGGCAAATGCTATATTACTCTTTACTGTGAAAGGAAGACTCTAGGACAAACTCTTTAATGTAGAATCTCTAAGTAAGTCTATTGGGGGATTAGAAGGTTTCTTTTAAGGGAATCGTACTTGACTAATATGCTTTAGTTCGTTGATTGAGGGGGTAAATTAGCATAATTAGCATTGTAATCTGTGAGTTTAATTTGGACTTTCAAAAAGCCTTGACAAGGTTCAAAGGCTATTTATAAAAATCAAACAGGTTGGGAGGAGGAAGAATGTACACAGAGAACTGACTTAGAGATAGGATAGACAAAGACTCCTCAGATGGACAATGAAGATAATGTGAAGGGAAGGATACAGGAAAACTACTTGAATGGACAGTGTAGATAACAGTGAATTGGTATTGAAATGTGTATTATTTAACATAGCATAGAAGTCATCATGCTTTCCACCAAAGAGAGTCTGAAGCAAATGCTCCGGGCTTAAGATCAGGATTACATTCCTGCCTATATAAATGCTAAATAAATATGCAAGAGGGAATTCACAGTGAAATCCCCAAGTTTGTTAGTGACACTAAGCTCCTCCCAAGGGTGAATTGCTATGGGGATAGGGATAATAAAAGGAAGATCAATAGGGTTATGAGAATGGTCCAGAAAGTGACAGTTCAAGATACCGCAAGGATAAAGAACTTTAGGAATTATTAAAATTATATTAAAGGATGATCAACTCTGAGCTGTCATTTGCAACCCAGGTTACAGTGAAATGTGTGTATGTGTGTGTGTGTGTGTGTGTGTGTGTGTGTGAGTATTGACTCAAAAACAAATACTAGGCTTTACAGAACATGAATGTGAGAGTATATTTCTTAACCTAATTTTAATAATAATAGAAAGTACATAGTTAATATTAAGACAATAGGCAACTAATGAGTAATAATAACTCACATTTTTATAGCAGTTTAAGATTTACCAAACACTTTCCTCACAAGAGCCCTGTGTAGTGAGTAGTGAATTTTCAGCCCCATCTGACAGAGAAAACAGAGAAGTTAAATGACTTGTCTAAGGTAACACTACTAGTGTCAGAGACAATATTGAAACCCCTCTATTCTAACTCTATTACCAATTTTCTTTTTCCACTACACCAAGTGGTCCCAGGGGCAGATACATACTGTATATTGCTACGATGATCCAGGAAATGTCACCTTAAAAGCACCAAACCTCCTGGAATAAAATGCAGAAGCCCTCTGTGTGTGTGTGTGTGTGTGTGTGTGTGTGTGTGTGTGTGTGTGTGTACGTACATATGCATACATATACATACACACACACACACACACACACACATGCACACACACACATGCACACAGACACTTTCCAGGTTGATTTAAAGAGAATCTAGGGGCCACACTATTACTAGGCATGTAAACATAAAAGAGAATTAAAATATGATTTGATGCGGGCCAAATTGGTTATAACTAATTTGTAGCTAGCTGGCTCAGTTGATAGAATGCCAGGCCTGGAATCAGGAAGACCTGAGTTCAAATCTGACCTCAAATACTTACTAGCTATGTGACCATAGGCAAGTCACCTAGCCTCTATTTGCCTAAGCCACTGGAGAAGGAAATGGCAAACCACTCCAGTATCTTTGCCAAGAAAACCCCATACAGAGTCACAGAGTTGAACCCAACTGAACCACAACGGTTTGTCATAATTGAATATCAAACACCTCTCCTAAATTTCCCCAACAACTTTGCCACATTCTAAATGACAATATTATTTCTTGTTATGATTTTATGTTCTTTTGCTGGCATTTTCTCTCATTTAATTTTTTCTTCTCCCCCATTGCTCTTCTAAGGTTTGTGAACCTTCTCCTTCCTCCTGATGCCAAAGAGACCGCCACACGCTTCCGCTGGTGGCAGCCTCGGCATGATGGCCTGGACCAGAATGACTGGGCCGTTGATAACGTCCTCATCTCAGGCTCCGCTGACCAGAGAACTGTCATGTTAGACACTTTCAGCAGTGTGCCTGTGCCCCAGCATGAGCGATCCCCTGCAGATGCTGGGCCTGTAGGAAGGATTGCTTTTGACATATTCATGGAGGACAAAACCACAGGTAAGTTTTACAGGAGCCAGACGAAGAGATCAGAGGGTACACAGCTTTGGCTTGGTAAGTACAATAGGCAAAATCTGGGTCATCTAAACAACATACAAAGTGTAATAGGGAGAGAGTTTCATAGCATCTATGGCTAGAAGAAACCTTGAAAATACTTTCAGCCGTGACTTTAGAAATATGCTAAGTCAGAACCATGACTATAAAGTCTTCTCTCTCTCTCTCTCTGACTGAATCATCAAAGGAGGACACGATTGATCTTCTAAAAGTCAACATCAGATGGTTAAGGACATATGCCAAAATATCCTTTAATAGTTTTATCCTTTTTGCACATATATAGCCTATATCAAATTGCTTGCTCTCTCAGCGAGGGAAGAGAGAAGGGAGGGAGAGAGAAAATTAGGAACTCAAGGAGCAGCTAGGTGGTGCAGTGGATAGAGCACTGGCCCTGGAGTCAAAGGATGGGAGTTCAAATCTAACCTCAGGCACTTGACACTAGCTGTGTGATCCTAGGCAAATCACTTAATCTCACTGCCTAGCCAAAAAAAAAAACAAATTTGGAACTCAAAATTTTATTTAAAAAAATGAAAGTTAAAAATTGTCTTTACATGCAGTTGGAAAAAATAAAATGTTATTTAAAAATAGTTCTAATCTTTAATAGATTGGGTTGCAGATGATGACTTATTGTCCATGCTTATAGGACTAAGCATAGTTTAAATACTTCCTCCCTGTCTCTGCCAGAGGTGTGCTGAAAAATGTTTAACAGCCAGTTCTCTGGGGGAAGAGTGTGCGCACAACACACCTTTAAGTTTAATCTGCATTATTCACATTTTATCCATCCCTTCCTTAAATCTACAACATCAACAAAATGATAAATCAAGTCCATGACTTGTAGTGTTTGCCAGTTTCTGAGGTATAAATAAATGCTCACCCTGAAAATTTAATAATCAGCTCTCTTGATCTAGTTAATGATGTTTCCAGACAGCCTTGCCTCCGTATAAATTCTCATCAGTCATTTTATGGCACATTCATATGGCTCTGTGAAATCTGAAGTTACCATTCAGGTGGCAGAATGGGATTTAAACCCAAGTCCACTGCCTTTAAATTCAGTGCCTTTCCCACTGCACCATCTCATTTTACAAATGAGGCAAACAAGGGTCAGAGCTGTGAGGTTACTAGCCAATGCCTGACCCTGGGCCTCTTTCATAGGAGACGTTTAATAAAATGCTGGGTGAGTTTATTTAAATTGCCTGGCTTACACAGGCAGTAAATAATAGAGGTGAGATTCAAATCCAGGTTATCTGACTCCAAATCTAGCCCTTTTTCTACCATGCAATGCTGGTTTTGGTACTTAAATGGAGCTAACATGCCAGTAGTACCTTATACTCACTATTTCTTATTCAAACTCACTCCTTTAAACTGTAAATAATGCTTTCGTTTCCTGTGCCAAATAAGTAGATATGCTATAATAAAGGTGATTTTATTTATATGGAATTTTTATTCATTGCTGTTTTCTAGTTTGTGTAGAATGCCAGATATTTCTCTGAAACTTCAGTTTCCACATCCAATAAAAGTGAATTGATTTTTACTAAATTTCATATGCAGTTGTAATGACATTTCGTGTTTCAGATATTGGCTTAGTTCTTGAAGCATCACCCCACGGATTATGCTAAGCATATTTTATAGTCACTCCAGTAAGTAGGAAATATATTCGCAGGTTATATGCACTTGGAGGTTTTTTTATGTCTGATTATATTTTGACTCCTCAATGCCATTACAGAGAAAGACAATGCGAAATATAAAATTTATTTGAAGGCCACAACTGAGTCAGATTCAAAGAATTCAAGGAACAAAGATTCAAGGAACAAACTAATTTTATTTATTGTATGGTAGTATGAAAACTAATGGTAGAACACTTATCCATACAAAAAAAGGTATAATGCGTGTGCTTTCTCCATCTCCCTACATCTCATTCTTTTGGTCTGGTATGGGGAATTAAAGCCTCTGACATATGGAGCTGAATCCCAAGAAACAGCTTGGTCCAGACCAGCTGACCTGTTCTGGATAGCCCACAGATTTTAAGGGCTAGAAGAGACTAATGGAAGTGCACCCTCCTATGAATGCGACACTCTTAGGGTAATCAGATAAGGCTAGTGATAAAGGCTGAAACAATTCTCCTGTAGCCATGGTCGGTACTCATGAATATTCATCATTTTCTAGCAACATGTCTATCCTTGCCAGCCCCTCAGGGCAAAATGGGCCTGGTCTAACTGGCAAACATCTCACCTTTATGAAGCATTTGACTGTACCACAAATTTGATTATTTATATTTCACTGCTTCAATGACTCTGATATGTCCATGCAGGCATTCTCTCCATTAGTACAGATTGCAACCCATCCATTCTTTCTTATTCTGTGCAATTTTTATGCCTGTTCTCCCATAGATCTTCCACAGGGTAGAATTAATTTGATTATACCACAGAAAGTCAATACAGCATGCGGTAAATGACAAATTGCTTAATCTATGATTTAGTTCCACTGTATACGGACTGTTAGCTCCCCCATGAATCAAGACCTCTGGTTTCACTTAATTATCTTTGCTGTGAATCTTTTGCTTACCTTGAAAATGTTCAAAGGCAAGATGGAGGGATTACACAGAGATTGATTCTGAAATTAAACCTACAACCCATATTTCTGTAGCATTTAGAGCTTTGCTAAGTGTTTGCCTCCAAACAGCCCTGTAAGGATAGGTAGTTCATACTTAGGTTATCCCCATTTTACAACTGAAGAAAGAAACTGAGGTTTTGAGAGATTCTCTGTTGTTCCTGCGATCCCATAGGTCATAAGCATCTGAGGTAAAATCTGAATCTTGCTTTCAAAGTCTACAATTTCTCACCATACCACACTGCCTCTCAAATTAAGTGAGTTCTCATTGGACTTGCTATTTTTTTTTTAAAATCATTTCAGAATCTTAGAATCCCAAAGTTGGAAAGGCGGTCAGAGGCCCTCCTAACCCAACCCTATGCTGAAAACACAAATGATCTTTACAGAACTGACAAGTAGCAATTCAACCTTTGACTGAAAGGTCTCCAAGGCCAGGGAATTCCCTGCCTCCTGAGGCAGCCCGTTTCACTTTTAGATGGCTTTGGCTGTTAGGAAACCTAAATTTGCCTCTTTGCAATTTCAACCCATTACTTCTAGTTCTGCCTTTTGGGACCAAATAAAGGAAGTCAAATCTATCTTCCGTGTACCATGCTTCAAAAATTTAAAGACTGAATATGAAATGAATACAAATCATATTCCAACCCCTAAGTTTTCTCTTCTTCAGGTTAAAGACCTCTGCTACCTTCAGGGGTTCTTATATCAGGTCATAGGATTTGGGAATTAAAAGGGATCTCAAAGATGATTAGTTCAGGAGTTTTTAACTTTTTTGTGTCATAGACTCCTTTGGCATTGACTCCTTATCAGAGTAACGTTTTAAATGTATAAAATAAAATACATGAGATTACAAAGGAAAGCATTTTATTTATCTAAATACAGTATCAAGATATTTAGAGAAAAAAAAACAAATTCATGGATCTCAGATTAAGAACCCCTGAAGTACCTATCTTCAATTTATGAATTATGAAACACCCTTGGTTTTACCCTTGCCCCTCATTGGGATAGCTAGGTGGCTTAGTGGGTAGAGCACCAGCCCTGAAGTCACGAAGACTCATCTTTCTAAGTTCAAATCTGGCCTCAGGCACTTACTAGCTGTGTGTGATCCGGGGCAAATCACTTAACCCTGTTTGCCTCAGTTTCCTCATCTGTAGAATGAGTTAGAGAAGGAAATGGCAAACCACTCCAATATCTTTGCCAAGAAAACCCCAAATCAGGTCACAAAGAATCGGATACAGCTAAAAATGACTGAACAACTAACTTTATAGTTGAGGAAACTGTGACCAATTATATGATTTCCCAATATTACAGGTATAGCAAATGGCAGAGCCAGGTTTCAAGTTCTTTCCACTAATCCACAATTTTGAGTCACCTCACAATTCTGGTTGCCCTCCTCTGGGCATGTTCTATCTTGTCAATGTCTTTCCTAAAATGCGGTACCTGGAATTGGACACAATATTCCAGATACAGTCTGACAAGATCAGAATATAATGGAAATAATAACCCCCTCAGTCTGAATATTGTCCTTCTCTCAATGCATCCTGAGCATTCTGAGCTATCATTTCACACCAACGTGTTGAGTTTTTAGTATACAACGTATTAAGTCTTTATTCCACCAAGAATTCCATGTGTTTTTGGCATGAACTTTTTTCCAACTATGGCTCTCCTGTGCTGCACTTATTTAGTCAATTTTACATTTATTCCTACTTCAATTTATTGAATATGGCTCATCATTACATAATAAACGTGCCGTGTAGTTCTTCATCCAAATAACTGCTAGAAATGTTGACAAGAACAAGGCCATTCCAAGCAATGGTCCTTTCCTTTTGTTCTTTGCCCTACCGACGTAGTTAGAAATACAAATGTCTCCCCTTTTTGTCCTTAGCCTTTGGTCCTTCTGGATGTTAGCCTTCCTGGTGCTCTTTTTCAGGACTACATCACTCTTTCGTGTTGCCCTAAATCATTCATGCTTGACGCCATCTTTAAACACCTAAGATTCTTGATGAGCCCCCTGGACGCAGCTGAGTGGGAAAGTGGACGAATCCTGACACTACAGTCTAGAAGGCCTAAGTTCAAATTGCTCTCGGTGACCCCAGGCAAGACAGTGGATAGAGCACTGGGTCTAGAGTCAGGAAGACCTGAATTCAAATCCAGCCTCTGTCACGTACTAGTTATGTGACCTTGAGCAAGTCACTCAACTTCTATTTGTTTCAGTTTCTTTATATGTAAGATGGGGATAATAATAGCACCTACCTACAAAGGTTATTGTGAGAATCAAATGAGATATTTGTGAGGCATTTAGTATACTGCCTGGCATATAGAAGATGCTACATGATTGCTAGTTATTATAATTATTATCATTATTATTATTATTATTATTATTATTAAGAGAAGCAGCATGGTATGGTGGAAAGGAGCATTGAACTTGGAAACAAGAGAGACATGGGTTCAAATTCCCCCTCTGACACTATATGATCCTGCGCAAGTTACTCTGAGCTTTCTGAACCTCTGTTTTTTCATTTGTAAAAGGACAATAATAACATCTATGAATTGTACCTCCCAGGGTTGCTGTAAAGCCCAATCCAATGAGATGATGTTTAAAAATACTATACAAAATGTCAATTATAATCATTTAAACTTATCTTCTCTCTATTTGCTGTAAATTCTGTTGGCTTTTTTCTTAAGTGAATGAGCACTGGCTATTCCATGATGATTGTACTGTGGAAAGGTTCTGTGATTCCCCTGATGGTGTAATGATCTGTGGTAGTCATGATGGCAGAGAAGTTTATGCAATTACCCATGACCTAACTCCTACTGAAGGCTGGATAATGCAATTCAAGGTGAGAGCTTCCTTGCCTGAATCATATAAGTAATCATTTAGCATCACTTAAATGTAATCCCTAAGATAACATTACTAAAAGAGACAATCTACCCTTCCATTTGCTTAATATTCAATGTATGCTGCTTTTTCTTTTTAAATTCATTTCCTATTATAAACCAAAACATCAATACATTGCAATACAAAAATAACATAAAGAAAATTGTATGTAAAACTATAACAGAGCATTCCTGCATGTCTGTGTTCCATTCTGCACTTCCTTCTGATCTGTGTATTTTTAAACGTTTCACTGATGTTCTTTTCTTTCATTTTTTTTGGCACTATATAACTACTTACCAATTCACTCTTTCCAATAAAAGCCCTCTCTTTTATTTTTTAGTTTTCCTTTTATTGCTATGCCCCTTTCATTACTCCCCCCATTAAGCAATTTTTTAAAAAATAAAAAATAAACCCTTGAGTATATATATGCATAGCAGTATGCAAAACAAACTCCCACATTTGCCACATCCAAAAATGTGATAACTCTTTCAACACTCTAAGTTCATCACTTTTCTGGCAAGAGGTGATTGGCATGTTTCATCTCCATTCTTTTGTACTCAAATTTTCTGCAATGTATGGTTTGAAATAAATAAATGAGAAGATGTCTTTAGTAATAAATCAAGAGCAACATTTTGTTAAACCCATGGCATAATCTTCAAAGGTATTTTCTTTCTCTGCTAGTCCTTGTTAAAATTTTTTATAAAAATAAAGATTCCTTCTTAGTGATTAAAATTAAGTATTGGTAGGCGCCGTGGATACTGATTCTGGCTGTTTCCTCTAATTTACTAACTAAACTAGGCAAACCCCCTTCTTTGAAGAAAGGATCTTTTGACAATGGGGAGAAATTTTTTCCCCTGTAATGTCTTGATGTTACTAGAAAACAGTGGAAGAGAAAATGTTTATTACAGGTAACCCCAACCGCCATTGCTGTTAGTTGGTCAAAATTCCAATTCAAGTAATTTACTATTTCGCCTAGATTCCCTCGGCAAGTAGAAATGTATTTGTCATCATGGCTGCTTCCATTATCAAATGAAAGATTTTATGCCCTACTAAAATAAGCTTCACACTTCATTGCACATTAGCAGTGGGTAAGGTAATGTCAAAAACTGTACTTCTAAGTAGTAGCATTTGTAAAACTGATAATTCTCCTTGGTGAAAAATTCTGCCAAATTTAAATGCCAGATCATTAACACAACAATTGGAGATCTGGAAGAGTGGGCAGAGGCTTTCCAGGTGAAGGAGCCAGCCAGAAAAGCATGACAAGAAGTAACCACTACAGCCTCAATCCCTGAACCCACCACCTGTACAACACCTCTGGCATGATTCACAAACTGTCATCTTTGGCAGCAACATCCCAGCCTCCCCGTGAAGAAAATGAAACTGTACATAATATGGTGAATGTACCTTCTGTACATGTATGTACAGAATGTAGCTTCTATTCAGTGGTCATCAATTTTCTTGTAGAATACTGTTTAGAATAGGAACACTTGCAGGTTTATTTTTTAAACGTTTATGTTTTGCCTTTCTATACATATTAGATTTCTGTTGGATGTAAAGTATCTGACAGAGTTGCACAGAATCAAGTCCATGTGCAGTATTCTACTGATTTTGGAGTGACCTGGAGCTATCTGGTACCCCAGTGTTTACCTGCTGACCCAAAATGTTCTGGAAGCGTCTCACAGCCATCTGTGTTCTTTCCAACTAAAGGATGGAAACGAATCACCTACCCACTTCCTGACAGCTTGATTGGCAAGTAAGTAAGAAGGTACAGCCTGGTTCAATGTAGTCTGTAATTCATCGAAAGTTCTATTATCAAATGGTTTATAAAAAGCAGTATGCTGTCCTTACTCCCACCCTAATGTTGAGTGCACTGTAATTGTTGTCCTCCACGAGAAAAGATTTCTCTTCAAAATGTCTAAGCTTGTAAACCCCCTGGACTAGGCCAGATGGCTTTGGCAGACCACTTGTATTTTCAAAGTCTCAATGTCATTATTCACCAAATGGGGATAAAACTGACTAGGGAAGCCATCATAACAAATAGTTACCATCTCATCACCCCTCTGAGCATGGACCCTTAAAGAGAATGATCCTTCCACATGACCTACCTTAATCAGCCAATGGCACATGCCAAACTCTTAGAGTGTTTGCTAGCTGTACGTGTTGGTTTTTTCTAAATTTCATTTTTGCTTTAATTGGAGCATGATGTTCTGCACCTGCAAAGAAAAACAATTAGCCTGATGTAATGGTGAGCCAAAGTGATTAAACTGCTTTCTAGTAAGCCCATGGCTAGCTAACTTCAGCCAATTTCAAGAGCTTATGGCTTTCACTTCGTATTTATAACTTGGCAAAACTGCTGTGTTGATTAAAATAGCCACTACAAAAAAAATCTATCATTTTGTTAAGCCATTATTTTAAAGTCCCAAAGATTTGTGAATTTGTTGTTAAGGTTACTTTCTCCAGTGATGCAGATTACACTTCCTCCACACCTTAGCAGTCCATTTTTAATGAGCTTCTGTGGCAAAAACAGACAAATAACTGGTGTTCAGTCTTGTGGTGGGGAGCCTCTCTGAACCCAACTAGGCAAGTCCTCAGATTATCAGCACACAATCTGTTAGCAGAACCATTCCAGCTTTCTAGGACCTACCAAAGCCTGCATTCTGAAGGGATAGCCTTCAAAAACTTTGAGTCACCTCTGTGCCGTGATGAAGCATCAAGGTGGATTTTGGTAGAGGGTGCTAATCAAATAAATGAACATATAAATATCTAGTGCAGGAACCTTACTCCAACACAGATTATGACCTGAAATGATCTACAGAGCAGCCCAAATTACCAGGGAGTTAAGTGATTTGCCTAGGATCATGTAGGAAGAAGAATTTAAACCAAATTCTTCCTGACTTAAAGTGCAGCTCTATTCACCAGGCTAAGCTGCCCCTCAGTTAATTAAATATTCAAGTTAAATAATTAACCATCTTACAAAATTGAGCTAGATATTTAGTTGGGATAGAGAAAAGATATTTGAGTAAGATTATCACATATATATATATATGTATATATATATATGTATAAATATATATATATACATATATATATATATATATATATATATATATATATATATGGCAAATGAGCTTTTCAAAGGAATATAGCCAACACCTAGTAAACTTTATCTTTCAAAAACTTCCCCAGTTTTCTTGGAATATTTTAAGAGTTCATTCATTTAACATATGTGAGCACCATATTAGAATAGAGTATAAATTTTTAAATAATAGGTAAAGTATGAAGGGTTTTTTCACATGAGACAACAAAAATTAATGATAGAATAATCTAAGAAGGATTGCTTGTCAAACTAGTTAAATAGATACTTAATAACTCTATTAACTACTTTTACATCAAAGCGAATATTTATTTGCTATTTTTGAGTGTGAAGTTGTTAATAGAGATTTTATTATAGTATTTGTGCCAGAAAAAAGTAAAAGGCTTTCACTTAACCTTTCTAAAAACTTCCTATTAAATTTGCTATCTGGCAGAGGCACTTTGAAGATATTGACATTCTCCTAGGAAATCATGAACTGTTGCTTTCCAGCTGAGTGGGAACAGCAAGAGTTTTAATAAGCCTCTTTTCAAGAGATTTTATTGTACTTTGTACATTTTCAAAAATAATAATATTAGATGAGTCATACTTGTTTAAGTGGGCATAACAATAGCCAATGACCAGTTCATAAAAAACCTAATTGATGATATATTGAAGAAGGCTCCAATTATTTTAAATGGAAGATGTAGAATATGACTCTTTGTTCAGCAAGTTAGTTCTTTACAAAATTTAAATGTCTCAAGCATTAACAAAAAGCACTAGATAAGGAGCTGGACAACCTAGTTTAGTTCTCAGCTCCACCACTTCATTTCTCTGGGCCTCAGTCTCCTCAGCTAGAAAATGAGAGGGAGGGTTGGAATAGTTTGGGGGTTAACCTTTTTTGTCTTGTAGTTTTTTGGCACTGTGGTGAAGCCTATTTTATGGATCCCTTCTAAGAATAATATTTTAAATGCAAAAATTAAAACACACAAGATTACAAAGGAAACCAATTATGTTTAAATTAAATACAATTTTAAAAATATTTATTAGAAACAAAATTTATTATTACAAATAAAACCAAGTATATTGAAATATAATTATCAAAATATTTGTTAATATTTATTTATATCTGAATTCAAAGACTTTTGTTTAAAAGACTAGATAATCTTAAAGGATTCTTCTAGTTCTAAATCTAAGACCAATATTTCACAATTAGGAACTGACAGAGGAGCCAGTTGTAAGGAAAGATTTTTCATTAACACATTTCCTCCTACAAAGAATTTCATGAAAACTTCTTTTCAGAAATGAGTACAATGGAAAATGGACCTGAATAAATGGCTAACTTACTTTTATCCTCCTTCCCCCCCTCTATTTCTCTGTTTGTGTGTGTGTGTGTGTGTGTGTGTGTGTGTGTGTGTGTGTGTGTGTGTTGCCAACAGTCCAGTGAGGTTTAGGTTCTATCAGATGTATTCAGATATGCAGTGGGCCATCGACAATTTCTATCTGGGACCTGGATGCTTGGATAACTGCAGGGGCCATGGCGACTGCCTGAAAGAACAGTGCATCTGTGACCCAGGATACTCTGGCTCAAATTGCTACTTGACTCACACTCTGAAGGTAAATCTATGTATTGGTGGAATTCTGCTTAGAAGCTGGTTATAAAAGAACTATTCCATTAATAATATAATGTTGTCCATGATGTGAAAACCATCTTATAGAAAAGGTTATTCCTTGATGACATCCTTTAAGTACTTCATTTATTCATTCAACAATGATTATTCTGTTGAAATGCCTAAATTCAGTAAGAATAGGGATGTTATCTTCCTTATAATTAAATACAATTGGCAGTGTTACTGTGAATTTCCAATGTGTATTTCACTGAAATTATAAACTTAAAAAATGTTAGTGTATGAATTAGATACCAATGACTTTAATTCTCCTTTTGTGTTTCTTCCTCTCCTAATTTAAAAGCTACATTAAGCTATTCTTTTCCACATCTTCCTAGTAGATACATCATGTGCAATATATATGGTACTGTTGGTGCTCTTAATGGATTAAGATATTGCCAGATATGTTATCATGAAAGGTTATATTTTCAACATCTTAACTGAACTGAATGTAGTTTTATATGGAGAACACAGAACCATTTTTTGTGCTAGTATCACTGATAAATATGTAAACCAAAAACAGTTAACACATACCATTTTATCTATGACACGAAATATAGGACACTTATCTTCGTGATGACAGAAAATTACTAAAATGATCAAGACAGATGACTAAAACCATGAACATAAAAGGGAAAAACATGTTCCTTCATTCTTGTTTTCTGTAGTAGTCCTAAAATTGATCCATTACATTAATAAAAAAAAAAACTAAGGCAAGATTCATTTATAATAGAAAATTTTTATTTAAGATTTTGATCCATTTTCCATAAAGAGAAAAAAAATCACATGAGTATGTGTGTGTATATAATACATTTTAAATCATTGTATGTCTTCTTTTATCAATTTTGCCAAAGGCTACTTAGCATTCCTCAGTAAGTTTAAAGAATTTTATGGGTGGCTATTAAAATGAGCTTTATTATAGCCTTCCTGATGAGAATCTGTGCATCTTTTCTGACTTTTATACACTTGTGTATGAACATACACCTCCGTAGTTCCATGTTTCTGTAATCTCGTTGGTTTGGCATTCTCCATTGGTACAGATAATAGCTCATCCAAGGCTCATCCTATTGCATTCTTGTCAATGCTCTTTAATAAACCCTCTACAGAAAAACTAGCCCACAGGCTAGGGATCCCTCTAGGACAGGAATTTTTAAACTGAGGTCCACTAATTTATTTTAAATATTTTGATAATCATATTTCAATATAATTGGGATCCTCCGTGACCATATGCATTTTATTTTGTGCATTTAAAATTATTATCCTGACAGAAGTCCGTAATCTTCACCAGACTATGCCAAAGGAGCAAGCAACACAAAAGAAAGGTTAAAAACACCTGCTCTACATATTTTAACATTTTGTGAGTATTCAGGGTGTCCATCTGTAATCTTTCACTCTCACCCCCCTCCTCTTCTGATTATACACTTCCTAAATGTGGTGAGGGCTGTTGTTGTTGTCTTTTTTCTTTTTTTTAACCACTTCTTTCTGTAAACCACTGTTGACAATATGCTTCAGCCTTCCTGCATCCACTATATGTATATCTCTGTTGCTTTTTGGTTGATCAACAATTTTAATTCTTTGGAATCTGCAATATTCCATGATTCTTATCCACAAAACATGAGTAGGGAGATATAGGTATTAAAAAGATGGCTTTTTATGGCAAGTACCAATTCAAACAATGTACAGTGCCATAAATTGCCAAATTCAATCCAAACCATTCTTTTTATCCTACACAATTCTAAACATCGTTATCTTCTCGTGCATTTGTAGTGCCTGTCCAAAATATATGTACCAATAGATCAAGTCAATAGATTGTCTAACTCTATTTCATGATCTTGGAAGTGGGAACTTTTCATCCATTTTGTTTTTCCTATATGACTGATAGGCCAAATGTTTTTGAATTGTTTTGGATATCTTTGAGGAGAATTATGATATTCAAAGGCTTGATGCAGTTTTATAGAATGTCATCTATAAACAAAACCATTTAGAAAACCTCACATAGGGAATCCCTATTACATTTGGACTTTACATAGGAGATCCTCCATGTCTTCTTTCATGAGCGCACATTATCTTATTTTATATTGATAGATGATTGTTGAGCAAAGTTGTCTTTTTGGGTTTTTTTAATATATCAAGGAATGTTGTATGATATCACCCTGTGTATAGGAGACACTTTTATTGGAAGATGGTCTTTAAGACTTCATTTTACTCTATTGAGTCAAATCCTTTTTTTTTTGTAACCAACAAACAGAAAACACAGTGGCATGTTGTATTTTTATAGCTTTCAATTAATTATGTAGCTGTGAAAATATGCTGTAATATAGAAAATTATCCATGAAAGCCTGCCTGTTCCCTTCTTGTATTTTCTTCAAGGGCTGTCTCTTAATTACACATATGGATCATTCTCAAAATGATGTTATACCAGTGAGAAAGTAGGCAGATAGACTGGCTATCTCTGACATTTTCAACCACCTTTTTAAATAATAATACTGTTATCCATTTTATTCTAATCTGATTTTTATATCTTATTCTAATTTGGTATTGATTTTTACTTCTATTGTCATAATTACCCCTTAGGACTTGCTGATTAGCAGCCCCTAAAATGATTTCATCCTGCTTATTTTTCTAGACTTTCCTGAAGGAACGTTTTGACAGTGAAGAAATCAAACCTGACTTATGGATGTCCCTGGAAGGTGGAAGTACTTGTACAGAGTGTGGGATTCTTGCAGAAGATACTGCACTATATTTTGGAGGATCTACTGTGAGACAAGCTATCACTCAAGATTTGGATTTAAGGGGCGCAAAGTATGTCATCCTATTGGATTTTGCAATTTTACATAGGGAATGGGAACCAAAGCATGGATGAGGAAGGGTGACAATGTTATTTAATACTTGATCAAAACATTAATTCTGGAAAAAATAATGAAGGCCTGTTATATAACCATTCTAATTACCAATTGCTATTTTTCCATTTAGATTTCTGCAATACTGGGGACGAATCGGTAGTGAAAATAACATGACCTCTTGTCACCGGCCGACCTGCAGGAAAGAAGGAGTCCTACTGGATTATTCCATTGATGGAGGCAAGTTTCAATATGCTCTGAATAATTCTTTTACTGAAAATAATGCACTACAAAGCTCCATAGTACCATGTGCTCCATAGATATATGTATGTGTGGGGAGCTTTTCAGAGTATGTAGGAGAGTGATACCAGATCAGATAACTACAAATCTATGAACTATGGGTCTCAATTGAATATCATATCAGTTCCTCGCTATGTCATATGCCATAAGCAAATGTGTTGCCAAAAATATAGAGGTTGAGAAAAAATACTTTTTTAAATTATATATTTTATGAACAGAGAAAACAACAAGTTTTGGTATGATCATCTAAAGAAGAATTTTTAAATCAGGAAAAAGCTTAACTATTGTGCAGTGAAAAAACACACATATAATCAAAGACATAAAGATGTATAAGAAAATGACACTAATTCAAGCTAATCAGGGGAAGGGAAGCTTGAGTTTATTAAAGGCTTGGGTTATTGAGTATTTTTATTGAAATCTAGCATTGTTACTTTCAAGTATCTAAAATAACTCCATGCAATATTGCCTAATAAAAGTCTACATGTTAATGAATGGATAAGAATAGCTATTTGGGAATTTAATTGGTCACCATCCCTCTCCTACTTTCATTCTTCCTTAGGGAACTATGATATTCTTCTTTTGCAGGGCTAACACCTCCATTTGTGCCCCTGATCTCTCCTTGAGGACCTTACTCAATCCATCTTTCCCTCTCTCTTGAATCTTTAATTCTTAATAATAATCATGGGATTGAGAGTTGAAAGGGACCTTTGAGATCATCTAGTCTAACCTTCTCATTGCATAGCTATAGAAAACAAAGCTGAGGGAAATTAAGTAATTCATTCAAGGTCACAAAGGTAGCCGATCTCAGATCTCTGATTTAGACCTTGGCCTTCTAACTTCAAATCCATCACTCTTTTTAAGACACCCCACTTTTCCCAATGGCCCATTCATTTCCACATACCAACATGCCCAGGCCTTCCCTATATATGAACGAAACATTTTCCTTCAAACCTACCTCCTCCAGTGATCACCTCCCTTTCATGACCAAACCTATAAGTATAGACTGCTCTCACTGTTGCCATTCACTCCCTTAGCTTCTTGAAATTTGGCTTCTCCTTTGATCTCTATATTGAAACTACTCTACAACCTTCTGGTCACCAAATCCAATTGCTTTTTTTTCAGTCTTCTAATCCTTGACCTTTCTACTACATTTGCTGCTTTAGATTAAAATGCTCTCTTCCCTTGGCTTATTAAACAATGAATTACCCTCATCCCCATCTTATCTTTCTGGTCCATCCTTCTTTAGATTCCCTTCTTCCTCTCACTTATAAATGTCTACATCTATGAAGGTTTTGATCTCGCCCTTTCCCTATCTCTCTACACTCTCTTCCTTGATGACCTCATCTGCAGTACTGCCATTGTTTCAACTATCATGTCTGTGTTAATTAATGATTTCTAAATCTTTACCTAGGGCCCTGACTTCTCTCCCAAACTTCACATCTACATGGATTTTGTACTCTAAATTCAACATCTGCAAAACCTTCCCCAGCCCTTCAAACCTTCTCTTCCTCCCAATCTGCTTGTTCATTTCTGTTAATTTGCCATCATACTATTTGTCACTCGGGCTCAAGAACCTTCTTGTTACCTTTAACAAGAGACTCCTCTCTCCATGCATTCAACAAGTTACTAAGTTTTATTAATTTTTCCCTCAAAACCTCCCTCATATCCGTTGCCTTTGCCATTGCCAAATTGCTACCAATAACTCAAGTACAGGCTCTCATTGCCTCCTGCATAGGCTATAGTAAAAGTTTCCTGGCTCCAAATCTTCACACCTCTAATTTTATAGACAATTGCCAGATCAATTTCACTACATACCTCATGTCATATCATCCCCAACACTGTTCAGAAATGTTCAGTGACTCCTTATTCCCTAACAGAGTCCAGTCTCATTATCCTGGCATTTAATTTTTTTCACAGTTTGGGCCCAGTATAACTTTTCACCCTTATTTCCCATTGCTTTACTTTGTACGTGTTGCACTACTTGCACAGGATAGGACACTTTGTGTCTTAGGCTTTCTCAACTCCATACTTTGGTTCACGTTGTTCTATTTACCTGAAATTCCCATTCCTAATACCTACCCATCCTTCCAATCCAATCCAACCTCATCATACCAGTTCTACTATGAAGGATTCCCTGATTTACCATAGGTATAAAAAGTATATAGCTTATTTGAACATCAGACCTTATTAGGACCTCTCACCACTTTCACATTTTTCCTTCTTATATTCTTCCTAATTACAAGTATGAATGTATTCTCTTTCTTCGTTTTTATATCACCAGTAGCAAAGTGCCTTGCACATAAATAAAAAGAAAAAAAAATTTGCTTAATGATTGAATGTTTAAGTGCTTATACAATATTGGAGGACATTTGAAAAGATCTTGTGTTAAGGGGTCCCCTGAACTTGTCTTTTTGTATTGCCACATTTTCCAGAAACACTGGACCCAAAGTATGCAGGAGGACCTGAACAAGGACCAACCCCCTCACCCCGGAGCTGACATAATTTGTTGTTTGTACCCCAAACTGGACTCTTTGTGTGTCCTTGGGAGTCAAGACAGGTGCCAGCCAGTCTGTGCTAGACTGGGAAACTGCTTTTGCATCTGAGACTCTTGTAGACAAGCAGACCATTATATCTTTATAGTCTAGCAGTTCTCAAGGAAAAAGAATACTGCTTTTGCCATCTTAATTACTCATGATTCTCCTCATCTCTTTGTCACAATTTCATAAATATCTAAGCTTCTGTTTGGATTGTGAACTCTTTGCCCAGGCTTAGGGTTCCACATGCATGTTCATTTCTCTTATAATAAATCTAGTTGCAATCCAATATTTCGTAGACTTTTAATACTGTTTTTTGCTAACATTTTTAAGTGACTTAAAAATTCTTTCTCCAATCATTGCGCGCCATTCATCTCTTCAGTAAATGATCACTTAATTGATGATGCAGAGACAAATTTCAGCATGGTCTCTAGCTGAATAATCATAAATCCTAGTAAGGCTGTGCATATTAATGAAAAATTTTATTTTTTAAAAATCTAGAAGTTATATTTACATAAAAATGTTATAAATTACTAATATAGTTTTATTTCTGATAAAGTATAACTAGAACTCTAATATATAAAAAGAAATAATATAGTAGCCTTTGGGATATTTTCCTTCTCTTTTGTTACATGTGAAATAGAATAGTTTTTATTTTAATTACTCTTACAATTCCATGGCCTTGGTGTTTCAAAATAGCCCAAATAAACATCAGGGTGTTTTTTTTTTATTAAGTAGTCCCTTACACTAAGGTAGAAGATACTGAATTAGTGAAAACACCTAGTACTACTTCTTTTGTACTCTGGCTGAGAACCTATCAGAAGCATAGACTATTTATACTATAAGAAATGTGCTTATTTTTGCAAATGTGAGAACAAGTATTTCATTAATTGCTTGTTTTTCTTGCAGGAATTACCTGGACCTTGCTCCATGAGATGGATTACCAGAAGTACATTTCTGTTAGACATGATTACATACTTCTTCCAGAACATGCCCTAACCAATACAACACGTCTTCGATGGTGGCAGCCTTTTGTAATCAACAATGGGATAGTGGTTTCAGGTGTTGAACGTGCTCAGTGGGCATTAGACAACATATTGATTGGAGGAGCAGAAATCAATCCCAGTCAACTGGTGGATACTTTTGATGATGGTAAGAAAGACGACACCAAGTGTTTCCTGTACTCTGAACTTTCTGCCCTATGACTTATCAAACTTTAATTGATAAACTGATGATATACTTCTCAATATATTTTCTAACTTTAAATATATTTTAATATTGTAACAGTGTTACTAAGTTCTAAAAACTAATTTCAGAAACCAGAGAAGTAATCAGTTTCTCTTTATTATTCCCCAATATTTAGCAAAAAATGTCAAGTTGATGGTATCATGCATAGTATTACCACTTAGGCCACTAAGAAGTGAAAGCAGAACTACAATATAACTTCTATATCTAACTGGGGTTTACTAAATGATATAAAACTACCCATTAAATAAGCCTGAGGATAATGAAGGTTGTTGTAACATGACTGACTACCTCCAAAATCCTATCAGGCCCGTGCTGAGTCTTCATGTCCCCACACTCAAATCTCTGAAGGGTTAGAAATAATAAAACTTTAGGGAAATTGTATCAATATATTAAAAAAAAAAGACTTTGCTTCCTACACTGTTATCAGTAAAATGTTTGTTTTTGATATGACATTGAAGCAGCTTTGGGAAGCGCTGATTGGTCACAGTATAGATGAATGAACTTGTGAACACTCTTTCAGACTCACAATTGGTCTTTTGGGCATCTTGGCCATAACACATAATTAATGCCTTCAGCAGCCTTAGACACAGGAGCCTGTTGTCTGGATGAGAGGCCTGTACTATGCAATTCCTCCTAATTATCTAGGATGACACACATTTAGTAACCTTGGGAGGCAACTGTTATCTAAAGATAGGCAGCCTGCTCATTGCAAATTCCAATAATTATCCTGAGAATTCCCTTAAAAGCTTCTAACTAAAGTTACAAAGGAAAAAAATATTGCACTTTTTAACAGGCAAGGTAAGAAAGTAAATGGTTACAATATACTCCATAGAAAGCTATTACCTCAACAAACAAGCAAAAAAAGTATTACAATGCATTCTTATTAATAAGTGTTTCAGGGACTGAGGAAAGTAATTGAACAAAATGGTGATTGCCCTGGTAGTTTCAGCACATAATAGGAGGTGAATGGATCTCACATAGGGGCTAAGCTCACCATTTTATCTTACTTCTACAGGCAGAAATTTATAAATTGATGGCACCTGGAATTGTGAAGTATGCTATAACAGTCATGAAAGGCATTCATTAAGAAAAAGGCTAACTACAGCAAATACACTGAAATCATTTTAGTTTGATCATTTTTGTATTGCTGTAACATATTTAGCTATCACATAGTTACAGTTCTGTTACTTTATAAAAGATCATCAAGCATAATTTTCTAATATGTTGCCACATAATGGTTTTGTAATCATTGCACTCGAACTTAAATGTTTTCTTTGACCTGACTTCTTGCCATGGCACTAAATGTATGAGCTAAACTAAATACAGATAAATTTGCTAGAGTATGAAAAAAATAAATGTTTCTTAAGCTAAGTGCTAGGAATACCAAGACAAAAACACACACATACCGCCCTTTAAGAACTTACATTATACTAATAGGGATACAACTTATACATAAAAAAGACAGAATACAATTAATTTTAAGAAAAGAAAGAGTACTGAGAACTAGGGAGATCAGAGAAGGCTTCATGGAGGAAATGGTACTTTTGTCAATCCTTGAAGGAAGAAGAGAACATATGAGTGCACTCCACACATCAGATTTGGCCTGCTTGGATACACAGAGATAGAAAGAAAATGTATGGTTGGAGGTACAGAGTGATGGAGAGACATATGAAATAAATTTAGAAAGGTATGCCAAGCTGAGGAGTCTGCATTTCATCCTAAAGGTGTGGCAGAGGAGGATTACTTTGTGCGGACAGTAGATTTGGAAAGGAAAGAGTAGAATCAGGGGGGAAAAAAACAATTAGAAGGCTATTACAATATTTAGGACAGAGGTAATGAGGTCCTGAACTTGGCTGCTGGTCATGTAAGTGGATGCAAGTGCTGTGGAGGTAGAATCAATAAGACATGGCTATTGATTGTATTTTGAGGGTAAGGAGGGAGAGGGAGTCAAGGGTAACTTTAGTTACTAATCTTGGTGTCTGGGAAACTTGGAGTAGGGGTGGATGGGAGGGAGGGACAGATCATCAGTTCTCTTTGAAACTTGGAGGTAATTTATTTCCAATTTTCCATAACAGAAGGCATTTCTCATGAAGAAAACTGGAGTTTTTACCCTAATGCAGTCAGGACTGCAGGATTCTGTGGAAATCCATCATTCCACCTCTACTGGCCAAATAAGAAAAAGGACAAGACTGACAACATTCTCTCCTCCCGAGAGCTCATTATACAGCCAGGCTACATGATACAGTTTAAAGTAAGAGAACGTTGTTCCTCAAGATGGTTTGTCATTGCATCACTTATAAGGCCCACATACTGTTCAAAATAGAGGAGTAAATTCATCCACTCATTCGCTGATTATTTACTCAAAGAGATGTAGTCCCATGGTAGGATATTTCAAAGATACTTTTATTGAATAAGCACAGTTGTTTATATAAAGATACTACCTGGAAGAGTAAATTGAAAGAGCAGGCCTTAGAGTCAGGAAGACCTGGGTTCAGGTACTGCCTCTGACACTGATACTGGCCGCATGATCTCGGTCAAGTCTCTTAACTTTTCAGTACACTCCCACCTCCATCCCTGCTCCCCCAATCCTACTCCCCTCCACAGCTCATTAGGACAACAAATTGCAAAGCAGTTCAGGGTCTGTATTAATAGGGGGAATTCCCAGATCAAGCATTGCCTATTTCAGGGAAATCACAGGTCCAGTCCATTTCTTGAAAAATAGTTTATTGAGGTACTATCTCTGGGATCAGTTTGAAAAAGTATCAAGAAATCTGAACCATCTTACCATTAAGAAATGTACACCATGCCTACTTAGCAAATTTTACACTTGTAAACTGGATTACCATTTTCTATACTTACCTGTGTAAAATCTTAGTAGGAACTTTTGTTTCCATCTATAAATTTTTTCTTTCCTTTTTTTTCGTTTTCAAATTGGACTTTTTATATTTCTGCTTTTCATGGCCTCCATTTTTCTCTCTCTCTCCTTTTCTTTCTCTTTATGTCATTTCCTGTGCCGCAGTGTCTCATCTTTTTTTTTTCCCTAGCTGTCAGGAAGATCCAAGTTCAAATATGGCCTTAGACTCTTATTAGCTGTATAACCCTGGGCAGGTCACTTAAACTGACTGCCTCAGTTTCCTCATCTATAAACATGAGAATAACAATAGCACCTTCATCCCAGGATTATTGTGAGCATCAAATGACATAATATTAGTAAAGTGCTTTCCAAACATTATTCCACATATGCTCATGTCCAAAAGTCCTATAGGGGATCACAACACATAAGTGTGTGTTTTTTAAAGTCCTAGTAAGTCTGTACATACATGTTTGGTTCAGATGAGAAAGTAGATACATGGTATCAAAATGAGGTTGTCTTCACTCCCAAGCCTAACCCCTGAACCTGCACCTTGAATTTTATTCATGTTTCCCCTTTGCTTCATCAGTCATCCACTCCTCTGCAATCTTTTCCCCTCCTCTAGCTTCGTCCTCCTAATCTACAAAACAAGCCTATTTCCCCCATCCTTAAAAGTACATAAAAACCCTTTCTTCATGCCTCACTCAGTCCTCATCATCTCACCATCTGACCGCCTCCCCACCACTGGTACTAAAATAGCTCTTTCCTTATCAGTAAATTCAATGACTTCTCTTTTGTCTCCATGTTTATTGATTCTCCTGATGGCACAGACCATCAGTACTTAATATCCTCTCTTCCCTTAATAGCAATGATACTGCAGTTCCATAATTCTCCTTGTAGTTTTCTAACCACTTTTTCTCTTTGAATAGCATTATTTTCTTTTAGTCTACGTCAATCTCTCTCCCTTTCCCAGATGCCTAAAAAAAAAAAAGGATTGTGTTACATAACTAGAACTAGTAATTTTTGAAAAACTTACTTCTGATCTTTCTATTCCCAAATTGCTTTTATTTAATAAGATTGATAACTATGAATCTTTGTGGTTTCCTAGCAGGCTACTGATGTTTTCTAAATATTTATAAGCAGGGCATATTGTGCTATATAATTCATGATATTAAATGTCCATTCACATTTGTTTCAGATTGTAGTGGGATGTGAAGCCAGTTCTTGTGGTGACCTCCACTCTGTAATGTTAGAATATACTAAGGATACAAGGTTAGTGAAATATTTCATTATTCAATTTAAAATTAGCCCACAGACCAAAAATTTTATCTAAGTTTAATAGAATTTCTTATAAGCTTTCTTTATTAATTCATTTAATAAATGTTTATTGAGTATATACAGTGTGCCAGGCACATTGTAGATATTGGGAATACAAAGACAAAAACAATTCCTACCCACAAGGAGCTTACATTTCTAATAAAGGGAAACAACATGAATATGGATATATAAAAACAAAATATAAGTAGAATAAATGCAAAGTAATTTCCAGGGTGGAAAGTCACCAGCAACTGTAGGGAAATCAGAATAGCACTTGAGGTTAGCCTTGAATAAATCTGGAGATTCTGTAAGGTAAAGGTAAGGAAGGAGAGGATTCCAAGCATGAAATTTGGGAAAGCCTGAACAAAGGCACAGAGCTAAGAGCTGGAGTATTTAAGAGTGTTACCAAGTAGAACAGTAATGTGCAAAAAAACAAGAAAGGGAGGCTGAAGCCAGGTTGTGAAGGGTTTTAAATGAAAAAAAGAGGTGTCTATATTTATCCTACAATGGCTTGGGAACAATTTAAGCTTCTTCTACCGGAGAGTGATACAGCAAATTTGGCAGCTATATGGAGGCTGGATGGGAGAGACAAGAAAGAGAGAGGGAGCTCTAAATAGCAGGTTCTTGCAATAATTCAAGAGCAAGGTGGCAAGGGCCTGAACTAGGATAGTGATCACAGGAAGAATGAAGAATTGAAAATGATTCCAAGTTTGTAATCTGGTTGACTGGAAGGATGGTGGTGTTCTCTAGAGGAAGGGAATTAGGGTAAGGTAGAGGCTGGGGGTTAAGGGAATAATAAGTTCTGTTTTGGGCATACTGAGTTTATGATGCCTATGGGACAAAGTTAGAAATCTTTAATAGGCAGTAGGTGATTTATACCAAATCTCAAGAGAAAGATGTTGAATGTATATGGAGATTTGGGAGTCATTTCCATAGGTACATGGTCTCCAAAAAGAACCCCAAGGGGGAGAGATTATAGAGAGAAAAGAGGCAAGGGCAGTGCGATAAGGTATTCCCATATGTATGGGCTGAAACACAACCAAGGAGAGTAAGAAAGCAGTGTCTTGAAAGTCCATGGAGGAGAGGGTATCAAGGATGATTGTGTGGTCAACGCATCATGTATCACAGAGTGGTCTAGAATGATGAGGACTGTGGCCACAAATTAGGCATTTAAGAGATCACTGGTAACTTGGAGTTTCCATTTGAGTGAAACATTTTTTGAAGGAGAATTTTGCTTATGGGCTTAAATATATTTAAACCGAAAAGGTCAGGTGAAATCTGTCATGAGTAATGTCATAACTACTAAAATAAACTGTAATCTTTTCTATAGCTTTACACAGATCATAAAAAATTTAAACCTATCTTGCATTAAAATAATAATTTGTCTATTCATCATTTGTAATAAAATGCACCAAAAATTTTAAATCATCTTAATTTAATCTCAAACTCACCACTATCATATTAGTCAGGCTTGCTGCCTTTCTCCTTTTTAAGATTACTCTAATGTACTTTCTTTGGGTTTTTGGTTTGGTTTTTTTTTTGGTAGATCCGATTCCTGGCAGCTTGTCCAGACACAATGCCTTCCTTCTTCTTCAAACAGCATTGGCTGTTCTCCCTTCCAGTTCCATGAAGCCACTATCTATAATTCCGTCAACAGCTCCAGTTGGAAGAGGATAACCATCCAGTTGCCTGATCATGTGTCTTCTAGGTAGGCTCCATAAGGTCATTTCCTCATGGAACTGTCAGACCAACCCTGAAAAGCTCATCTGAAGCTGTGGGGAAGTCTGAAAAAGCAAAAGATAGTTTTAATCTTCAAACAACAGTATGAAGTGGTTGATAGTAGCCTAGGAGCTAGAGAGTCATGGGTTCAAGTCCCAATTCTGACACCTACTGGCTGTGTAACCCTGGATATATCACTTATGCCTTCAGGGAACAAGACAGTTCTCTGAGACTATATACCTCACATAATCCAGACACCAACCTACAGTGGCAGAGGAAATCTCCTCACTCAGAAGTTTCCTTACCAATGAAATCATAAATCCAGTCCCTATCCTGCTAAGATAAAAAGCTGGCGACTGTATTTTCCAGAAATGTTTTAGTTTAAGCAATCAATAGCCATGGAGGAAGTAGGAAATCAGGTGCAAAAATGCATAAAGTACCAGAAACTTAGACCTTGAATTTTATGTTATATAAATGACATGGTCCCAGATAATGTTACCTAGAACTTATCATACAAAAACACAATTTTTACACAATTAAAAATACCATATCAGTATCACTCTAGAGATTTCCTCTGGGAAAACTGACCTTGTTACTACATAATAATTCTGTGTAATAATAGTTCTTTATTTCCCTTATAGTGCAACACAGTTTCGCTGGATCCAGAAAGGAGAAGAGACTGAAAAACAAAGTTGGGGAATTGATCACGTCTATATAGGAGAAGCCTGCCCCAAACTCTGCAGTGGCCATGGATACTGTACAACTGGAGCTGTGTGTATCTGTGATGAAAGTTTCCAAGGTCAGAACTCCTGAATTTCCTTCCCAATACAGTCAGTGTACTGTCTAAATCCATGCCTTCTTAACATCTGTACAAGAATGGGTGAATAACTAAAAAAGAAGTTATTGAGCATTTACTATATATGGTGGGCATTCTACTAAATGCTGGGGACAGGGATACAAACACAAAACCAAAGACAGTCCCTGCCTCAAGGTGCATACATTTTAATGGGGGAAAAATAGACATAAAGGAGTAGCCACCAGGGAGGGCTATTTTGGTTTAGAAAGTTACAAGGATGGGCAGCATGTAGGGAGCAAGGGCCAGAGAATACTCTCACATGGTGGCAAGAAAAATAGCTAGTGAGTGAAATGAAGTATGGCTGGAGCTAAGCCTAGATGAAGCAGGAGATATGATGCAGCCTCCAATCAGGACAGCAAGACCTCAGGGAAGGAATTCTGGAGGGGTGAAAGGATTAAATCCTCTAGGGCAGAGGTATCAAATTTAAGGCCAGTTGTCAAAGGGCCAGGAAAACTCCTCTGGGAACCAGATTAAAATGTAATTGGGAAATGTTTAACAAAATAAATAAAAATACAATGCAATGTAGATAATGTTAAAGGTATATTTCTAAATCAGTGTGCTGTCAGGAATCTGTTTCTATTTGAGTTTGACACTACCTCTGTAAGGCAGTGATATCAAACTCACATAGAAACGGAGGCTACTAATCTGTACATATTGACTTAGTTTAAAATGAAATGTCATCTATGTTTTGTTATATTTTTATTTATTTTGTTAAGTATTTCTCAATTTCATTGTAATCTGGCTCAGCTACACTTGGGAGTGTTATGGGACACATGTTTGACACCCCTGGCAGGTGAAAGATGAAATGCCTGAGGAAACAAAGGTTTGAGCTTCTGAGCATATTGATTATTAAGCAATGCATGCCAATTGCCTACCAGATCTGGACCAGACCTCTTTAGCTTAGGGCTGGACCTGAATACAGGGGCAGACAGACTTTTGTGCATTAAAAACAATTACTTGAATAAGACCAATGAATTAAAAGAAAACAACCAGGACACAAATTAGGTGATGTGATTTCTACTTGGAGGAAAAATTATGGACTTTCCAAGTTGGGAAGGGAAGGGCAAACAAATACAATTCCCTGAAATCAGAGGTATTCTACTCCCCCCAAGTATCTGAATTCAATTAAAGGAACATGGAAACAATAACTGATTAACCAGTATGAGGCCAGTTTTCAGATAAAACATATGGGTCACCTGAGATGAGAAACTGTGAGAAAACTCCTTGTATCAATCTTTGGATCCAATTGGGTTTTCTGGTCAGCATAACCTAGGTCCTTAGTTAAGGGTCTCTAAGCAGTAAGCAGAAGTGGTCCACCTTCCTAGCCATGCAGGACTAGGGTCAAACAATGTAACAAAGTCTTCTCAATTACTACAATGGAATACAGTTTTCTCACAAGACAGAAATTGGACTAACCCCAAGATGGAGTCAGTGCAGTTCACTCAATTCCTACTACCAGTTGCAGTTCGAACCCCCTCACACCTCTGCTCTAGGGAATAATCGTGATATTTATGTAGTGCCAGAGCTGAACTCAAAAAGATGAGTCTTACTGACTCCAGGCCTAGCCTTCTATCCACTGTACCACTTGGCTGCCCTGCATTAGATTAGCTTAGGGTTTTCCTGGTGCCTGTTTGCCAAATTTTATTTTCAAACAAATGAGGCATAGTTCTGGAGCTCACTTTCAAAACTCCACTATCATTTTTTTATCTTCAGAATATCTATCTCATTTTATTTGTAGTTGGGTTTACCCTGTCTACAAGTCTACAAATTCTACATGATGAGTAGAGGCATAAATGTCACACTTATTCTTAGAAGAATCATGGTTTTTGTGCCAATTTTTCAGACTCCAAATAGGAACTCAATCTGTTGGATAAAAAATAGAGAAGTAAAGGGTGAAGGTGGGATAGCTCCCATACTTACCCTTGAAAGAAGATAATGGATTCTCTTGGGAGGCAATGGGATGCTCCTTGATTTGGGAGTTAGGAAATCTGGGTCTCAGATTTGATGGCACTGATTTGCTATAAGAACTTGGGCAAACCTTTGAATTTCTCTGGGACTCAATTTCTTATTTGCAGTGATGGATTAGGAGGTAGAAAAGCAGGGTTTGCATTCTTTTCTCTAATGTTCCTTCCATGTCATCACCGTACCAAGTATTTTGCTTCCATGGTCAAAAGGGAAGTAAGAGCTGAATGGGAACCACAGGGAAAGACAGTCTGCTGCTAGGGACAATTTGCTTTCTAGCCTGACTTGGAAGGAATCCTTCAAGTACCAACTGGATATACAGCTAAAAAAGGAAATGAGGGTGATAAGAGCTGATTAACTCTAGGGTTACCTTCTGTCTGCTTGGTATAGATCTTAGATGTTGTATATCACCCATTAGAGTGTAAGCTCCTTGAGGAAACTTATTTTCGTCTTTCTTCATATTCCCTGAGTTTGACACAGTGCCTGTCACCTACTAGGCACTTAATCAAATTAAAAAAGTCTTGAGGATCCATTGCAACTCACATGACACTGAAAAGTAAATGAATCAAAAACATCCCTATTTTTCTACCATTTAAATCAAGGTAGGACTCTCAATGCAGAGGTAACTATTATTTAAGCAGCTATACCCCAACTTCTTCTGCAACATCCATCAGCCTACATGACAGATAAAAATTCCAGAGATATAATATTTTTAATGCATTTAATTGATCAATAGGCACATTTTAAAAAATGCTTTGGCAACTGCATAGTTTAGAAAATGTTGACTTACATACTAAAGACTATCACGACCCCAAAAGAATGTCCTGAATAAAGAAGAAACAAAGCTTCACATTTTGTCATCCTAGTCATAATCATAATGTACTAAATCCTGATTTTGTTTGTTCCCGCTCTCTGGTAATTTTCCCAGCTTGCTCTTACAATGATTATTTTTTCTCCTCTAGGAGATGACTGCTCTGTTTTTAGTCATGACCTTCCAAGTTACATTAAGGACAATTTTGAGTCAGAAAGAGTCACTGAAGTAAATTGGGAAACCATACAAGGTGGTGTAATTGGAAATGGATGTGGACAGCTGTCACCCTATGCCCATGGAGACTCACTGTACTTTAATGGATGTCAGATAAGGCAAGCTGTTACAAAACCACTGGACCTCACTCGAGCAAGGTAATAAATGACTCTACATTCAGTTCTGGAAACAGTGTGCTGCATAAGGGGCCAGTTCTCCTCTAAACGATGTAATGGGGTGGATCCCAAGTACATATTATCTAAAGGCAGCTAATCCAAACACGGCTGGACTTAAGGATATCCTCCCAGCTTACCTGGCTTCCCAATTATACTTAAGTTACTATTGGAATCTATTTACAATTCTCAGCACACATTGGCTGAGGGGTAGTTATTTAGGAGTGAAGATATTTTTATTTCATTGTCATGTTAACATCCCCAGTGGCTAGTTTGACTTATGCTGCCTTTCAGTGCACAAAAAGTATAGACGGTTGCAGCATTTCAGCAAAGCTTTAAAGCATGAAATGTAACAAACACATAAATTGAACAATCAAAATTTTTTTCTTAAAATACAAAATTAGACTTTGTGAGATATTTAGGATATATTACTAAATAGAAATTTAACAGACTGCAGCATTAACATGTATGTCAGAAAACTGGATGCTTCTCTTTTATGAGATTTTGAAACAAGAGAAATACACACATGCAAAACCAACTTTAATACTTACTTTAATTTTCTTAAAAATTACTTCCCCTGGGTTTTGTTTTTTTTACAGCAAAATAATGTTTGTTTTACAAATCGGGAGTACCTCACAGACAGACAGCTGCAATACCAATCTGAGTGACCCCAACACCGTGGACAGGGCAGTTTTACTCCAATATAGTGTAAATAATGGCATCACTTGGCAAGTCATCGCACAGCATCAGCCAAAGGACTTTATACAAGCCCAAAGAGTGTCCTATAATGTTCCATTGTAAGTACTGGATTTCTTTCTTTTTTTTAAAAAAAAGCATTGTTGCCATTCTATTTTTTTTTGAGGCAATTGGGGTTAAGTGACTTGCCCAGGGTCACACAGCTAATAAGTGTCAAATGTCTGGTCTGAGGCCACATTTGAACTCAGGTCCTCCTGATTCTATGCACTGTGCCACCTGGCTGCCCCTATGTACTGGATTTCTAAAGACGTTATCACAAATACCTATTGTAATCTTCTGCTGGGGGGAGAGGCAGAGACAAATAAATGAAAAATAAAAGCTGTCAGCTATTTTCTAACACTGACCAGTAAACAAGTAATAAAGAATAATAATTAAAAAGGGAAACAATTACATTGCTGTTTGGTTGTTTATGATTATTGTTATCACTGTATTAGCTGCTATTAGGGAAATATAAAGATTTTAAGACTTTGAGCTGGAAGGCACCTGTAAAGTCACATAGATTAAACCCATCATTTTACAGATGAGAAAAAGCTGAGGCCCATAGAGATGAAATGATGTGGCCAAGGAAACATTCAAATATAGGAGTCAGTATATGAAACCAGGTCCTCCGATATCACACCCATCTTTTCACTATACTATATTACCCTGGTACCTCAAGTAGATTCTAAACCTTCAGGAATATTTATAGTAGTACCTATTACTCCAGCTAAGCCAAATCCTCTATTTTTGAGATGTTTCCATTTCAGAAATTAAACCCCTGAAAGTTCTTCTTTTCCACATTTAACTTGCCTTATCCTTCTGTTTGTAACCCTAGGGAGGCACGAGTGAAAGGAGTTTTACTTCGTTGGTGGCAGCCACGCCACAATGGAACAGGTCATGATCAGTGGGCTTTGGACCATGTCGAAGTTGTTCTGTGAGTATCTGAATCATGTCACACCATGTCCATTTCAGAGGGCTTTTGAAATTCCTTCAATATGGCATGATCCTTAACTCAACTACAACTGTTCTGGAATAATGCTCTCAGCCAGATCACTTTGGCTTACATCCTTCAATGACTACAAAAAGTCTATAGATTATAGTCAATCACTGAAGAAGAAAAAAAACTAAATAAAACAATAGTCTGTGTGCCTTAGAAATTTCCATAAGGAATATATTCATATTAAAATTTTACAATATGTGTTAAATTGGTTAGGGCAGGAATCTCTAGAAACAGGAAAAACAATGTACCATGACTTGCTTGATGAGGTGACTTGCACTCATGTTCACTTAAGAGTGAACTGTCTAGCTCTCTATGCTGTCACTGATAGAAATATCCAAAAATATGTATTAGCCACTGATGCCTTAAGCATTTTTTCCCTTTACTGGGAAGAATACAGCTCAGAAAAGCTTCCACTTTATCAAATTCTCATTCTCAAGTCTCTTCCACAGCTTTCAAACTGTGTGTCTTCACTTCATCATTTCTCCCATATAACGATGATAGGGATGTCTCATCACTCTCAGCCCAATTGACTATGTTCCCTCACAGAGAGATGACTTACTTTTTCTCTAACAATCTAGTTCCTGTAGAACTGAAATGCTTATGTCTCGACGGGTTCGGACTGATGGCTCCCCGTGGTTGACAAGGAGAGGCGAATCTTCCCGGTAGATAGGTTCAAATGTTCATTCTGTTTACCAAAAAACAAAAGCACTGAAATCAGTCTTTTTTGCTGATTTCAGTCATTTTGAAAGTGAAATTTAAATGATCAGTTGATAGGAATGCCACCAGATTTGTTTTCTTTCCATCATAGCCATGAACCAAATTATTTGATCTTGAGTTAGCTCTTGACTTAGTTTTCACTGAGGCACCTGCTTGCATGGCATCCATATCAACCCCCCCAAACCAAAGAGCAAAACAGTCTCCACACCAGTCCCCACTGTGCGCTCTGCTGCTTCTACACAACTTGCTGGGCTCTGCCTCCATGACATAAAGGTGAAGTTGAAAGAAATGGAGGGAGGGTCAATGATTTCCAGACTCACTTTGAAATGGAAATAAGAGGCTGACCTACCATTCCTAAAACAGTGATTTTTACTAAGGCTTCCCCTTCTGGGCTCTGAAAGGAATCTTCATAAGATAAAGGATTTTAGAACAATTTTGCTATGATTATTTTTCCCTTTAGAGTGATTAAACAAATCTCCCTAAGACATAAGTCCACTTTCAAGTCATGTGTCTCTTGCCAAGAAAAATTTAAATTCACATTGTTTCTTGTCCCTGGAATATCTGAGCCAGCACCTATGGATGCATCAGTCTCAGAAAAACACACTAATTTCACATAACTCTTGTGAACCCCAACAATCATTAACATAGAAATTATGTGATGTGTTCTTTCCTTTCCAACTACCCAATGAAATTACAGTTACTTTTTCAAATTTCTATCATATCATTGAGAAGCCCAAAATGACTATGATTCCCATCCCCTTGGACTTAAAAGAGAGAGGGAAAGGAAATGTACATGTCCAAGGCACAAAGTAATCCAATGATAGGACTGGAAAGAGAACTTCACATTCCTCACTCTCAGTCCAGGGCTTTAAATTGGCTCCAGGATATCAGAAAGGACACAAGCAGCAAGCGTTTGTATCACAACTCTTGGGAATTATGTCATCTAACTTTTTGGACGAGTCATTCATTAATGGCCAGTAGAGAGTTGTTGGTGTTGCATTTTTGGAACTATTAACATCCATTGGGTTATTATACGTGACAGTTCAGATAATATAATGCTTATTTATTTCACTGGTGCTGCTGTGATTTGGATTTTCAAGGTAACTTGAAACTGAAAAACTACATTTTTACCCCCAGGTCAGATAATTCTCAGAACTCAAAGCACTGATCATTTGACAATCCTAGAAATTACACATTCAACCTATATTACTGCCTCTGGCTGTCATGTACACTAAAATGCTCCCCTTACATCTTTAAAGAAAGAAATGAGAATTGCTACAAAATGCATTTAATGCAGTTCTTTTTTCTACACACTAAAAAAAGAGAGAGAGAGAGAGAGAGAGAGAGAGAGAGAGATTGATCCAGTTTCTTTCTTGGGTAAATAATTCTAAAAGTCATCACTGTTGTCAATTCTTTTTTCAAGGAAGTTTAATAGCATAACATCAAAACATTATTTTTACCACTACATGAATTACTTCTACTTTTCCCCTTCTTTTAACATCTTTGGAAAAAAATAATATAAAGTTAGGTTCAATAAATTAGTTTTCTAAGAAACCTTTATATCACAAAAGCATTTCAGTTCAGTCATGCATTCAGCACATCTGGGAATGTATGATTTCAGTTATGAGACTAGACAGTTTAGTATGTAAGGTGTAATTCACAGCAGCTCATCTTAACTATTCCCCGATAAACACACCTGCTTAGCAGATTTCCAAATTAATTGTTAGGGCAAAAGTTGATCAAAGAGAGGTATTTATTTTCACCTTCAGAGTAAATCGTTTTCTTTCTAAAATGCACTTTAGACTACACCTTTCCCTTTAAAGGTTTAACTTTTAAGGAAATTACATTTTCAGAACCATATTTTTGATGTTTTCCATTTGTCTTATTATTTAACATTCTATGCCACTATATATTTTCCAAGTATATTTTTAGCATTTGCTAGCTAATTTGTACTTAATTTGATAGTTTAGTAAGCTAACTTCATTCATTCATTCATTTTCTTTGTCTAAAATAAATTTAAAACACAATAATATTAAAAATAACAATTTAAAGCAAAGGGAACCAAAGTGCCTAAGCAGCTCTCATGCTGCCTTCCAAAACTATCACCAGTTACTTATGCAGCAGCCATTGTTTGCTTAGGAATAGAAAAGTACACCTAGAAAGCCCCATCAATTGAAAGTATTGTTCTCTGAAATTTGCTTTTTCTAATGTTAGCCACCTTCCTAATTGGAGATGAGGATGACATCTCAAAAGAGTAACCTCCCTAATGGTGCACCTAGAAGTGTAGCTATCAACATGTTATTAAAACTAAGGGTCTAGGATGTTTATTGCTGCTTAGGTATTTTTTTTTTAGAATGTGTCTGACTGTATTTAAATCAAGACTGACCACAGAATTTTTTGGTTTTACTTTGGGGTTCTGTTTTGGGTTTGGGTTTTTTTTTTTGGTCTGCCTCTTAGGCAGTAAATTAGTGGTCAAGCATGGTATCTTAATGCTGAGTTCCGTCTCAGCCCCTGCCCTCAATATTAACCACAAAGCCATAGTCAGTTGATAAACAATTTTAATTGCAATGTCAAGACAGTTTGAAAATTTATGAATGCATCTTAAATGGATAGAGATAGGGATTGACACCTTGATTCATTGATGAAGGGCATCCCCAGATAAGAAAACTCCCACTATCAAAGCAGGCTGACACCTCCTCTATAATGTGTACCTAGAGCACTGATGGGTTAAGTGACTTTCCCAGGGTGACAAAACCAATAGACTCTATCCACTATGCCATTCTTCCTCTCCTTAAATGACTATATCACCTAGTAATAATTATTTGGATGAGTCTTAGTTTGAGTAGTTCTGTTTGATTTTAAAACACATTTTGTGATAAGGATTTTAGTTTCCTAAATAGGGGCATACATACTGGCAGGCCTTAAAAGACAGAAATTTAAACATGTCATGAACATTTAACTCACCTGCTTAATGTCCATTAGCTGCTTGAAAAAAAATAACTTCAGTTTCTGATACTTCTCAATAAAACTGAACAAAAAGGTGCTTCAGAATGAAATTAGTCACTAATATTCTGTTAAATATAAATATGTAATGTACTGAACTGTCCCCACCCCAGCCTCCTTAGCTCTATCAAGTAAGCAAATGTTTCACACTGTAAAGTCAGAATGACATGGGATGAAACAGCTATGAAGCAATTGAGGGGAAAGGGAGAATGTCTGGATTTGTTAGCTAGAGTAGAATATTTTCTCTCCAGAAACGTTTGTGAATACATTTTGGGCAGATCCCTCACAAGATCCATGCTGGTGGCGGCTCTTCTTAGGATAAAAGAGTATGTCCTGCCAATCTAAGAAAAATGTATTTTTGCAGGGGATTCCTGCTTGTATCCTAAGAATTTCCCACACCCAACTATGCATTTCATTTGTACATTTCATTATTCTTTGTCCTATAGTCCAAGTCACAACCTGTCATCTGCACAATGAAGTGGCACATTTTTTGCATGTGTATATTGAAAGTAATTTCTTTGTAAAATAGTGAACCTTTTAAAATGTGTCCAAAAGTTCATTCAGATTTCCTAAGGGGGGGGGAAATATACTATCAACTACAATCCAAAAAGCATTTATCACATTTTGATAAGTATATTAGTTCTGCTATCACCATCACATCCTGCTATTCATTTTCAAGATGTCACATTTTTGGCACAAATGATTTGTTTAAAAAAAAAAAAAGAGCATACTGGACTTGCTGCAAAGCATCTTTGTCCTGTATTTGAATTTGAACTCTATTATCTAGTTTAATGGGCTTTCCTGTTGCCCATTGCTTAGTATCTTTAGAAATGAGCATTTGGTAAAATAATTAACAAAACAGTTAATTAAAACAATAATAGTTGTTACATTAACTTAACATCTGTACTTTCTTCACAACATTTATGCCAAATGTAGTACTAGAGCTGTTTGTATTTTGACATGTGATTATGAGCAAATATTGCATGTTGTATCATATAGAAAAGATTATTATATACACTGATTTAAAGGGGATATGAAATAATTTTTTTCATTTTTATTTTCAAAAGAGATGAAAAATCCTATATTGCCTCTAAGCCTCATCAGACTTTTATGACTAATCACAGTGCTGCATGCATTGAAAGGCATTTTTTAACTTGTGTTATATTTCATTATTTGCTGTCATTGGTTTTACACTAGAGTAAGGTAAGTGCTATTACTGAATGTTGGGAAATGTTTAGTAGCGAAGCTTCTTCAATTTCACCTATTAAGGGGAGGGGTTAATCAAGATGATGACTTTATCATTGAAGAAATTCTATTCAACGAATGAAATTACTGGCAATCTTTGAAATGTCTGCCCATGTGAACTAAGAATTGTCAGTCAAGGTCACTAAAACATAACTTCTTTTGTTTTGGGGGGCTTTTTTTGTTTTTTTTTCCACTCTTTGGTGAGGCAATCGGGGTTAAGTGACTTGCCCAGGGTCATACAGCTAGTTAAGTATCAAGTGTCTGAGGCCATATTTGAACTCAGGTCCTCCTGACTCCAAGACTGGAGCTCTATCCACTTCGCCACCTAGCTGCCCCTAAACTGTCCATAACTTAACACCATACCTCTACATACCATACCTTAGTGGTTTTGAATACAGGATGCCTCAAATATACAACACAATCCTAAAACGAGTTCTCTTAACAAAAGACAAACAGCATTTAGGTACACACTAAAAAATAATGATTATATGTCTTTTTGGTTTTATAGAAGCTAAATATATTTGGCCTTTTTTTTTAAGCGCAGCCTATATTTGAATCAATCCAGCATAAACCAGGCATGGTCAATCTACCATCCTTGCCAATACAAATCCTCAGATTTTAATGAGCTTCCTTGAAGGAAACATGAAGAAGAAAAACTATATTTCAAATTGTTTTATGCCTGTGTTTAAAAGTAAACTCTTTGGGTGGATTGGAAGGGAAGGTAATATTTCATTATAGACACAGAGCCTTTCATCCATAATTCTGGTAAATTCTAGTGCTCATTTTGGGGTCAAGCTGGTCACTCTTGCTATATTCATATATGCAAAACAGTGATTTTTATATTCTAAAATTGAAAATGAAGGTACGGATTTTATGTAAAGAATAGTGGAGAAAGTGTAGGATTCACAATTGCTCTCTGACCACAGAGAAATGCAGTAGCATTTCATTGGTGAGTATGAATGGTAGCCAGATGATATTAAAGTCCACATGGTTCATTTAACCCTACATTCACCAATACAAACTACCATGCTGCCTGACAGCTAAATGGCTTATCTCTGCATCCAATGCAATGTTTTGTTTTTATACTATGAATGCAGCATTTATTTTGGCTGTGAAGAAGTTAATGACTTAATTAAAAAGTCTCAATACTTATGAAGTTGATATTACTTTCCCAATCTTCATCATCCTCCATTTTATTAGAAACTGAACCCCTTCAGAAACCACCTGAGTTTTGAAAAATGAAGCAAAAACTGAAGGGGGCAGGAGTCATACTGACTGCTCCAGAGATCTTTCCATATCTGTGTCTGCTGTACTACAATGGTGGTGTTTTATAATTCAACATGCTATTCAAATTCCCAAACTCCTACTGAAAGAATGGAAAATACAGTAATTGCTTCTAAGGATCCACTATAGTTTATTCTGTCTTCTTTCAATCAAAGATAATTGGAAGGTTTTTTTAAACTATCTTTTCTGGCCATTGCCATAATCAACTGAAGATAGATCATATTGTCCTATAAATGTGATTTGGGGATGAGTATTACATACTTCAGGGATGCTAGGTGGGCTCAGTGGCTAAAGTGCCAGGCCTAGGGGATTTGTTCTGTGAAGTTTGGATTCAGTCAAAGGGCCAAACCTGAGGGCCACATGTGGCCGCAGGTTCCCCACCCCTGGCTCTAGGCAAAAGGCGATGTGGATGGGAACTAGTGGCCAGGTGAGTAAAGACAGACATAGGAGAAAAATGTTGAGATACAGACGATATGTCATGGTTACACACATTCATTCATTGAAATACATTTAAAACATCAAAATTAGAACAAGAAATATAAGCTTCTGACATTAGGCTGATGGCTGTAACATTTAGAGGTGCAAGGTGCCATGGCTTATCTTCTCAAATACATAAATGTTGATTGAATAAAAATGGAATTTGAAGTAGTACTATAATAATTTCATAATCACTTAGGAAAATTGCTTTAGCATCAATGAATAATGTATCAAACTAAGAAAATTAATACAAACATAACTTTGTTCTTTCTCAGTTGAGGAATAATCACATGAACCTTGTATTTTATACATGTTAATTTTTCTGAATTCTAAATTTACAGCCCTTTTTTTTGCTTCAATTCAAGGCATCTGAACCACTTAAATTACATTTTTCACTGCTCATATTTTTTGGTCTTGTCTGACTTCATGACCCCATCTGGGGTTTTCTTGGCAAAGATACCAGAGTGGTTTGTCATTTCCTTCTCCAGCTCATTTTACAGATGAGGAAATTGAGGCAAACAGAGTTAAGTGATTTGCCCAGGGTCACACAGCTAGTCTGAGGCCAGATTTGAACTCAGGAAGATGAGTCTTCCTGACTTCAGGTTTGGCACCCTATCCACTGAGCCACCCCCCTAGCTGCTCCCCAGTTACATTTTACTTACTTAAATATTTTAAGTATAGTAATTACAATTCTTTTAGTCTTAGGGTAGTAATAAATAATGGTTCTCAATAGAAGTCAATCAACAAATATTTATTAAGAACCTACATTATGCCAAAACACTATGGGGGAAAACAAAAAGATAAATCATCCATGGATACAAATAATACAAGGCAATAACATATAAGAACAGTGTAGACAATAAGTACTATAGTGTAAGAGTTCAGAGAAGGAATAAATCACTTCCAGTTGTGTGGTTTGAAATGGGCATTGGAGGATGGATAAATTTTTAATGAACAAAGATTTTTTTAAGGTAGACTCTCCAGGAGAAGGGAATAGAGTAAGCAAAAGTTCAGAAAGTGCAAGGGAGAGGGGGGGAACAGAACAAAATGGTTTTGCTTAGAGCAAAGGGTAGTGTAGAACAGTGGGAATGGTCGGTTTGCAATAACATTGTGGGTCCCTGGCAGGCTAAGTAATCTAGAAATTTTCTGTAGGTCTTGAGGATATACACTCATAGTTTTTGAGTTGGAGAATGTGATGAAACAGTGTTTCAGGAAGAGTAGTTCAGCAACACGGAAGAAAAAGAGAAAGTTTCCTATACAAAAAGTCAGCTATCTGGTCATTTTGCTTTTTATTAAAAACAAAGTCTACTTCATATAAGCAATCAAAGCCACCAAAAAAGAAAATTAATTTTACTAATGCTCAATATCTCTCAGTTATCAATCATAACTGGTCACTGGCAGGTTCATGTAATAGACATATCTCAAATGAAGGGAGTGGATCTTGTTGGAAAAAAATTTTTTTGATTAGTCAGTTCTGTCATTTTATTAGTGTACAAAGATCTGGGTGAAGAACTTCCTTTACCAGTGTAGATCAATATCCCCATGGTGCTTTGCATAATGTCCCTCACAGAGCAGGCTTTCTATAAATATTTTTAACTGGCTGACTTCCCATCAAAAGCCATTGTTCATAACTACTATAAGCCTAAAAGAATTGTAATTCTTAAGAGAGTGGCCTGGAAAATAAGAGGTTAAGTAACTTTCCTGAAATTACACAGCCTAATTTAAATTAGACTCAGAAATTCAAAATTTTAGACAAAATCTGGTTCTTGTGTTTTTCTACCAAGAGCTTCTAGATGAGATTGGGTACTCCATCCTATAATTCTAAATACTTTGATAGCATATGAAAATTAGAAGACTTTGCCAGAAATAGTTTGGATTTTTTTTTCTCATGTGTGTGTGTGTGTGTGTGTGTGTGTGTGTGTGTGTGTGTGTGTGTGTGTGTGTGTGTATCTATGTATGTATATACAGCTATATGTCATGGGTTGAAAAAACTAAGAAATAATTACTGTTTAAATATTTCATGAAAATATTAGTTTTACATTTGTGCTTTATTATAATCAGGAAAAACATACTTGTCAAGTAGATTAGTGCTTTTGATTAAATAAAATCTGATTTTAAAATTCACATAAAAATGTAACTTAGTAACATTTTTATTCTCTTCTAAAAATCCAACTTGCTATTTTGCTTCTAAATTTTCCCCTTTTAAAAAGGTACACTTCATTATATTTTACCTTTTTTTCTATTAAGACCAAAAAATTTTTAGCACAGATGCCTTGCCAATACTACAATCACTAATTATCAAAGTAAAGAGCTATGTCATGCAGTCAGAAATAAAAACTCTTACACACATTAATGATGAACATATCTGTGGTATAGGATTATAAATCTGGAGTTGGAAGGGACCTTAGAGGCTACCAAGTCCAATTCTCATTTTACAGATGAAGAAACTGAGGCACAGAGAGGTAAAATGAATTGCCCGAAGTCACACAGGCAGGATTTTAATTCATTCACATTTTCCTGATTTGAAATCTAGCACTTGTTGCATATCACAGTTATATTAATCCATATACTTGGCACTTTCTATGGCACTATGAAATGATGTTACAAAATGGCCTCAGGACCATGAAAACCTTCAACAAAATCGGTGACTTTTTAGAAGTCAGATACTTTTGGCATTTGCAAAAGCATACAAGGAATTAGTAGCTGTTGCCTAACAACCTTATCGTGTGCTTGAGAGTTGTGTTTCCTTCCAGTGGTCTTACAAAGAATATTTCATTGAAAATACCTCAAGGTACATATGCAGTGTAAGGAGAGAATGAGTAAGTCATACGTGATAGCTTTCTCTGTCATCTTACCTGAAGACAGGTATTTAATAAATGTGTATTAATTTTTTATCAATATACCCTGAGATCCACTTGCAATTCAGCCTCCTCTTCTGTCTCATATTCTGGTTATCCATCTATTCATTTCTAATGTGAATCTTTGTAGTACCATATCAGTATTATAAGGAAAATCACAATACAGTCAGTAGGGACTTCCACATTAAAGACTATGATGAACAAAAAAAGAGAGAGAAAGGGAGAATGTGGTCACAGCTGCCTACTATTTAAGGAGGGCAGCATCACACTGCAGTCCAGCATTTTCAGAATAGGTTACTTTCACATTTCTCCACATGAGTGTGCAAAACAAAGGAAGGCTAAGACCATTCAAACCGTAGCAGCTACAAAAAAGTAAATAAATAAATGAAAGTTTTGTAAAGGAAGAAAAACTGAAGGAGTCAGATTAGGGTGTAGGAATATATGCTTCTTCCCAGTTTTAAAATAATTTGAATCACATGAATATTAACAGCAATAATTCAGATGTAGAAAATTCTAAGAGTAGAATAGATTCAGTTCATTTATGCTAGCGAATATAATATCCTTACTAGTTTGGATAACTAGTTATAACAGATTACAAGCGATAACAATTTGTTAGACTTAAGAACAATAAATGTCTTTAGTTAATCTTTCCCTGAATGGTAAAGTCCAGGTTTATCCAACCGCCCTAGGAAATTTCAAAATAAATCAACAAGTCAGTTCAGCAAACAAAAGCACCTATTGTGTGCCAGGCATTGTGCTAAGCACTGGGGAGACAAAGAAGGTTAAAAATAGTCCCTACCTTCAAAGAACTCACAATCTAATAGAGGAGACCACAAGCAAACAACTTATGTTCAAACAAAATATATACTGGCTAGATTGGAGGTCATATCAGAGGGGTGGTCCTAGCATTAAAGGAGACAAGGAAAAACTCCTTGTAAATGAAGGGGTTTTAGCTGAGACTTGAAGCCAGGGAGGTCAAGAAGTAATCACAGGATAATAACTTAGGACCCAAAACAGATTTTGCTTTAAATGATATTTACATTTCTTTCTCCCCACCCCACTTCCTTTAACAGCACTCGCAAACAAAATTACATGATGAATTTTTCACGACAACACGGGCTCAGGCATTTCTACAACAGAAGACGAAGGTCACTTAGACGATACCCATGAAGAAACAAATTGTTTTATTTTTCCTCCCAACATGTGACGTGTTGCTTTCCAACCTTCTAAATCTAGCACTGCATCTGGTATCAGGACTTTTCTGCGAAAAGCTTCATGAGTAACTGAAAGCTTTTCTCCAGACAGAGTGTACACCACTTTTTCCACACTGTGAACTAATGAGAAGTGACTTATTTTCTCATAGCTAAATGTTTTAATGTTGATGTGTCTGTGAAAATTGTGATCTGTTGTAATATCAGTTACAGTGGCAGTATTGGAAGTAAGCAACTAACTGTTTAACAGGAAAAAAAACTTTAAGCACAAAAACTTAAGAGATTTTATGTTTAAAATGACATTTAATACAGTATTTAACATTCTTGGTCACATAGCTGTTTCAGTGGACTGTATTTCAGCTATGTATCATGTTTTATATGATTAAGTTATCATTGTTTGTCCTTTATGTACTCTCTTCTGCAGCATAACACATTGACACTGTATTGACTTGTTATGTTGTTGTAGTATTTTGCTGCTGATTTTTTGGGGCTACTAACACTCTGATATCATGCAGGAAGTAAACAGAAATTTGTGATTGAGAAGAAACTTGTAAAGACATTGCTATCTCCTTTAATATTACTCTTCAATTTGTCTGTGGGTTAGCGTTGTTTTGTGGATAAGAATGATCTAAATTTTTTTTTCTACTAAAGGACTGTGGATAAAGCACAACCCCTCTCACCCCACCCCACCCCCAGAAAAATCCCATTTCCTTGTCTAAAGGTAAATACCATTTTCTGTGGCTGATTTACTAACAGTAACTGCCATTTTGTGTTTGTGGTAACAGAGTGACTTGTAAAACAGTGGACGTTTTCATTGTGTTCTCTTTGTGACTTGTTTCTCTTGCAGGTCATATTTGTATCTTCTGATAAAGTTGTACCTACACCAGCAACAACAGTATGATGGTTGTATAGCCCTGAATTGTCTATCATCAAAAATGCAATTTCACTCTAGGGTGAAATAAACTAAAGTTCTATGCTTCAATAAAGATTATGTCAAGAAAATTCCACTTGTCCATTGTCAGTTTTTAAAATTATCAAAAAGGTTTAGTGTATTTGGTCAAGTTTGTAAAGACAAATGGCAAAGATGTCTGGGTTTTGCTTATTCCTATTAATAATAATAGTATATGGGAGTGGGCATGGCTTGAACCTTACTCTCATCAGAATTGCCTCAAAAAGGGAATAGCATACATATTCAGTTGGGTATAAAAATATCTTACCTTATAGGAAAGGAAATGGAAAGGGGATAAGAAAGGGGGAAGGGTACTGAAAAAAGGGAGGGCAGATTGGGGAAGGCAGTGGTCAGAAGTGAAACATCTGGGAGGAAGGACAGAATCAAAGGAGAGACAAGATAAAAAGTGTTAACAGTTAATCATAACTATGAATGTGAATGGGATGAACTCATAAAACAGAAGTGGACTGGATTAAAAAACAGAATCTAACAATATGTTATTTACAAGAATACATTTGAAACAGAGATATACACACACACAATAAAGGTAAAAAGCTGGAATCTATTGTACTTCAGCTGAAGTTAAAAAAGAAAGGGGTAGCAATTATGATCCCAGAGAAAGCAAAAGCAAAAAAAGAGATCTAATTAAAAGAGATAATGAAGGAAACTGCATCCTGCTAAAAGGTGCCAAAGACAATGAAGTAATGTTAATACTAAACATATATGCATCAAATGCTATAGCATCCAAATTTTTAAGGGATAAGTTTAATAAGTCATAGGGAGAAATACACAGTAAAACTATACTAGTGGAGGATCTCAATTTTTCCCCTCTAACCACAAAATAAATAAGAAAGAAGTTCAGGAGGTGAATACAATTTTATAAAGGTTAGATATGATAGCCCTCTGGAGAAAAATGAATGGGGATAGAACCTTTTTTCTCAGCAATACACAAAAACTGACTGTGTATTAGGGCATAAAAACCTCACAATCAAATGCAAACAGGGAGAAATATAAATGCATCCTTTTTACATCATGATGCGATAAAAATTATATTCAATAATGAGCCATGGAAAGATAGATTTAAAATTAACTAAAAACTAAATAATCTAATCTCAAAGAATGAGTGGGTCAAAGAACAAATCATAGAAACAATAAATAATTTCATTAAAAGGAATAACACAATGAGACAACACACCAAAATTTATGAGATGCAGCCAAAGCAATACTTACAGGAACATTTATATTTCTAAATGCTTACCCCAATAAAATAGAGAAAAAGTAGGTCAGTGAATTGGTTGTGCAACTAAAAAAAAAAAAACTAGAAAAAGAACAAATTAAAAATCCCCTACTAGGGGCAGCTAGGTGGCACGGTGGATAGAGCACCGGCCCTGAAGTCAGGAGGACCCGAGTTCAAATCTGGCCTCAGACCAAACACTTGACACTTACTAGCTGTGTAACCCTGGGCAAGTCACTTAACCCCAATTGCCTTAAAAAAAAAAAAGCTCCAACTAAACACCAAATTGGAAATCCTGAAAATCAAAGGAGAGATTCATAAAATTGAAAGTAAACCACTGAACTAATAAATAAAATTAGGGACTGGTTTTATGGGGGGGAAACAAAAAAAATAAACCAGAGATTAATTTGATTTATAAAAGAAGAAAACCAAATTATCAGAATCAAAAATAAAAAGGGTGAATTCACCCCCAATGAAGAGGAAATTACAGTAATAACTGGAAGCTGTTTTGCCCAATTCTATACCAATAAATCTAACAAAGTGAAATGGATGCATATTTACAAAAATATAAATTGTCCAGATTAACAGATGAGGAAATAGAATACTTAGATAATCTCATCTTAGAAAAAGAAATTGAATAAGCCATCAATAAAGTATACCTAAGGAAAAAAATCCTCAGGGCCAGATGGATGGATTCACAAGTGAATTCTACTAAACATTTAAAGAACAATTAATTCCATTACTATACAAACTATTTTAAGAAATATGCAAAGAAAGAGTCCTACCAAATTCCTTTTAACACACAAATATGATGCTGATAACTAAACCAGGAAGAGTCAAAACAGAGAAAGAAAATGATAGACCAATTTCCCTAATGAATGTTGATGCAAAAATTTTAAATAATGTACTAGCAAGGAGATTAGAGTAATATATCACAAGGATTATACACTATGACCAGGTGAGAATTATACTGGAACGCAGGGCTGGTTCAATATTAGGAAAACTATCAGCATAATTGACCATGTCAGTAACTAAACCAACAGAAATCAATATGATTATCTCAATAAATACAGAGAAAGCATTTGACAAAATACAACACTCATTCCTATTAAAAAAACATTAGAGAACATAGGAAAGAATGAAGCTTTCCTTAAAACTCTAAAACCATCAGCAAGCACATCTGTAATGGGAACAAGCTAAAAGCCTTCCCCAATAAGATCAGAGGTGATGCAAGGATGCCCATTATCATACTATTCAGTATTTTACTAGAAATGTTCACTATAGCAATAAGAAAAAGAAGTTGAAGGAATTAAAAGAGGCAGTGAGGAAACAAAACCATCACTCTGCAGATGATATAATAGTATACTTAGAGAATCAGGCAGCTAGGTGGCACAGTGGATATAGCACTGGCCCTAAAGTCAGGAGGACCTGAGTTCAAATATGGCCTCAGATACTTACTAGCTCTGTGACTTTGGACAAGTCATTTACTCCAAAATTACCAGGTCAAAGAGAAAATATTGCAAGCAGCCAGAAAGAAACAATTTAAATATCATGGAAGCACAGTCAGGATTATACAGGACCTTGCAGCTTCTACATTAAAAGACCATAGAGCATGGAATATGATATTCTGTAAGGCAAAGGAGCTTGGATTACAAACAAGAATCAACTACCCTGTGAAAAAGAGCATGATCTTTCAGGAGAGGAGATGGATATTCAATGAAATAATGGACTTCCATACCTTCCTGATAAAAAGACCAAAGCTCAACAGAAAATTTGATCTTCAAATACAAGACTCAAGAGAGACATAAAAAGGTAAACAGGACAGAAAGAAACATGTTACTAATAATGGCAAACTGTTTACATCCCTACAAGAGAAGATGACACTTTTAACTCTTAAGAACTGTATTGTTACTGCACCATGTTAAAGGGGTATATATAAAGGGGGTGGGTATAAATTAACTTCGATGTAATGATGAAAAAATCTAATCAAGTGAGTTAAATGGATCCAAGTAATTGAATTAATCTGATCTAACTAAGAAAATGTACTGAAAGAAAAGGAAAGGAAGAGGCAGACAAGGGTAAATTACATCAGGAAAAGGCACAAAAACCTATTACAGTGTAGGGAAAGAAGGGAGGGAGATAAGCATTGTTTGAACCTTACTCTCATCAGATTTGGCTCAAGAAGGAAATAAGATAATCAGTTAGGTATAGAAATCTAACATGCCCTATAGGCAGTAGGAGGGAAAGGGGGAAAGAAAAAGGAAGGGGGATAGAAGGGAGGGAAGAAGTAGTAAGGGTAAAGGGGAAGAAAAGGGAGGGGGCTAAAAGAAGGGAGGTAGGACTGTGGGAGGTGGTGGTCAAAAGCAAAACATTAGTGAGGAGGGAAAAGGAGAAAAGAAAGCATAAACAGGAGGGGAAAAGAATGGAAAGAAAGACACAGATAGTAATCATAACTGTGAATGTGATATATGAATGTAATGGAATACTATTGTGCTATAAGAAATGATGAACAGGCAGACTTCAGAAAAACCTGGAAAGACTTGTATGGTTTGATGCTAAGTGAAGTAAGCAGAACCAGGAGAATGTTGCACACAGTAATAGCCACGTTGAGTGATGACTGACTTTGATAAACTTAACCACTCTCAGCAATACAAGGATCTAAGATATCTCCAAAAGCCTCATGATGGAAAATGCTATCCACATCCAAAGAAAAAATGAATTACAGAGTTTGAATACAGATCAAAGCATACTATTTGTTATTTTTTTCTCTTCTGTTGTGTTTTATTTCCTCTTTCTGATGGTTCCTCCTATTGGTTCTAATTTTTACTTACAACATCACTAATGTGAAAATATGTTTAATAGGAATGTATATGTATAGCCTATATCAGATTGCATGGCGTCTTGGGGAGGGGCGGGGGGGAGAAAAATTTAAAACTCAAAAGCTTATGGAAGTGATTGTTGATAAATCAAAATAAATTAATAAAAAAATTTTTTAAAGAATTAGAAAAAAAGTTTATGGAAGTGATTGTTGATAAATCTAAATAAATTTTTAAAATTTTTAAAAGAATTAGAAAAAAAGCTTGTGGAAGTGATTGTTGATAAATCTAAATAAATTAATAAAAAATTTTAAAAAGAAAAAAAAAAGAGAGAGACTTTGACCTAGCAATAATGCTTCTAGGGCTATATCCCACAGAGTTCATAAAAATGGGAAAAAGGAACTACATGTACAAAAATATTTATAGCAGCTCTTTCTGCAGTAGCAAAGAATTGGAACTGGAGGGGATGTCCATCAATTGGGGAAATAGCTAAACAAATTGTGGTATATGAATGTAATGGAATACTACTGTGCTATAAGAAATGATGAGCAAGGGGACTTCAGAAAAATCTGGAAAGAACTGTATGGATTGATACTGAGTGAAGTGAGCAGAACCAGGAGAATGTTGCACACAGTAATAGCCACGTTGTGCTATGACCAACTTTGATAGACTTAGCTCTTCTCAGCAATGCAAGGATCTAAGACATCTCCAAAAGCCTCATGATGGAAAATTCTGTCCACATCCAGAGAAGGAACTATGGAGTTTGAATGCAGATCGAAGCATACTATTTGCTATTTTTTTTCTATTTTGTTTCCTCTTTCTTGTGGTTCCTTCCTTCTATCGGCTCTAATTCTTCCTTAAAACATGACTAATGTGAAAATATGTTTAATAGGAACATATCTGTAGAGCCTATATCAGACTGCACATCATCTTGGAGAATAAGGCAGGAGGAGGATAAAAATTTAAAACTCAAAAGCTTATGAAGTGATTGTTGAAA